CGTCCACCGGCAATGCTTCCCCCCCTTCCTGGTTCCTTTTTATTGTGGATTGGAGGTGCTTCAAGTCTTCCTCCCCCTGCACCTTTAGGGTTGAGTTTGACTCTAAGGTAGGCAGCCCTGGCGAACACGCGCAGAAACCGTCCCCTCCCCCTTGTCTGCCCCCTTCTCGGCCGTCGTTTCCTCCAAGAGACATGCCGGTAGTTGGATGTGCTTCTATGCCCTTCATGACAGTAGTAGCGAGGGCTTTACGTCTGAAACGGCAATGGGAACTGTTGGCATCCAATCGTGTCCGTCCCAACACGGCCTGAACTAATTCCACCTAATTACATCTTGCGGATACTCTCACCAACGCCGCCGCCGCCGTAGCTCCCGGATCGACGTACATCGTCCCTCTATTCTATTATGGGCTGCAAGTGTTAGTCCGCCGCCGCCGACGCCTCGTGATTACCCTTTCTGAGGGCAAGAAACATACTCAGGCGTGTTGGTCAAAGTCCCATCGGTGACTTGCAATGTTGGTAAGCCAAGCCAGCATTGACCGAGATTCGGATTTCCTTCGTCTCTCAAACGTCGAGAAACAAAGACATTGTCAGACACGGCCGGCACTAGACAAGACACGTCAAAGTGATCAATGCTTTCTTCTCTGTCCCTTCTTCGTCTGTTCTACCCATTCTCCTCTTGGTCCCAGATTATCGGATCCTCTAGCTTTGCCCTCGACTCACACTATGACCCGTGAGCTCATCAAAGCTCAGCCACCCCTATTGCCAATTACCCAGCACGGTCAACGATATGGCTCTGCGGGCTTTGCTTTCTCTACTTTTTCTCTCTTGTCATCCAATCCACGAACTATCCGGAGAAGAGGGAATATGGCTGAGTCGCTCACCACGCGCGAGGGCTGCCATCTCATCTTGCATCTCAAAGCATCTGCATCCAACATCCCTGGTTGCTCTCGTCATGCTCCGACGTCGTCACCCCTCCATCTTCGGGCATTATACAGCCCCATGTCACATCTCCCTCGAGTCTCCCCCCTCGCCCATCCACACACCGTGACCCATTCCACTAGTCGTCCTCGACTTGCGCTGCGGCTCATCCTTCCGCATCAGAATAGAGGTCTGAGAAGTCTCAAATCCCTTCCTACGCCGAAGGGAAACAGGGTCCCTCCCCTGCTCATGATCTGCCCATGCCCTTAGTCCAATAATCGGTCACCACCCTTCCTCCACCTACGCTTCTGTGCCCTTCCTTGTCAGGGCGCCGCCTCTCCCGCACCAGGCCCGCCGTCCGAGTCTGAGAGGTCGGACGGACAAGAGAAGGAGAGTACAGAGAGGCTAAGAGAGAGTCCTCTGACATATACAAGACGATCGCAAACCCTGGCGCTCGGCCATGGATGCCTTTTTTCCCTTCCTCCTTCCGCCCCCTTCACCGAACGTGTCAGTTGCACGTCACTCTAAAACTCTATTCTGTTTTGTCTTTACTGTTCTAGACGAGACGAAAAAGAAGCTGCTGCAAAAGAATCAGGCCTACACTCCTTCGGTCTTCCTTCTGTTGCTGCTGCTGACGCCTCTGCCTCATCCCGCATTGACCGGCTTCTACTAACTATACCATACTACACCTTATCCATATTGGCAATACCTTCAATCATCCTTCTTCTTCATTCTTCTTCTTTAATCTCTTCATGTCCATGTGCCGCGCGAACGACTCTGCGCTGCCGTCCTCCACGAGGTCATGGAAGTTGTAATTCCACCCAGAGATCATGGGCCGTCCTACAGATATGTATGGGACGACGAAGGGCAGGTCGAGAGGATAGAAAGGTCGGACCATTCCAGCACACCCTCTTTACAGAATCTTGAGAATTAAGTTTGCGCGGTTAACTAACATAACTCACCCAACGCAGAGTTCGCTTTCAAGAAAACAATGAACAGAGAGACAGTACAGTGAGCAGGCAAACGGTGCAATGGCCTTTCCTCCGTCACCAGAGCTCCGCTTCCGATGTCGCCTCGTCGAGGCCTTTTACTGGCTTCACGGGGAGCTTCCCGGACCCGCAAAGTTTTCCGCCAAAAGAGCCAAAAGAACCGACACGAAGAGCGACGTGGGCGCCGGGGAAGCGCAACTCGACAGCCACAATTTTGGAAAATATCGTCCCGGACTACATCATCAACTACATCAGGGGAGAGACGCCCGAGACCATGGCGCAGCGGAGAGAGGAACGCAAGAGGCAGACGGAGAGCCCAGACACGTTGGAGGCACAGGCCGCCGCGGCGAATCACGCGGCCGCGCAAGGATTTTACGATGAGGCGACCACGGATCGACCGTCGACGGGCGAGAACGAGATTGGGGATCTCGAACGGATGCTGCCGCCGCCAAACGAGAAGCGCGGAGGCGGAGGGACTTTTAGCAGGATGAAGTCGGGCTGGAGGGCCGGCATCGCGTTGAACATCATCATCGGCTTCGCCATTCTCATCATCGCCATCGTGTGCCTCGTCCTCGCGCTCGTCGTCGTCGGCATGATCAGGGGCGAGAGCATCATCTTCAAGGGCTCCTGCGCGACGGCCGAACAGCTCAAGATTGGCCTCTTTGTCGCCATCAATGTCATCACCATTGTGCTGCTGTCGGCGGCCAACTACGTCTTCCAGGTCCTTAGCAGTCCCACGCGCATCGAGATTGAGATGGCGCACGATGGGAGGCGGTGGCTCGACCTCGGGATCCCTTCTTTCAGAAACCTGCGTTTCGTCTCGAAACCGCGGGTTGTCATGACGGCCATCATTATGCTGGCGGCCGTCAGTACCCAAGTAATGTATGCGCGCGCTACTGCTGTTACTGCTGAGAGCATGCTCCGCTTCATCAGATCTGACAGGCGTTGACTTTTTCACTAGTTATAATGCCGTAATCTTTTCGACACAACCTGGCTACGCCCACCAGGTCGTCTTTGTCACACAAGAGTTCCTTGCCTCGGGCCAGTTTAGCAACGCCTCAGAAACCAACGCCGGAGGTCTCTCCCGAGGCGACATCCTCGACCTCCAAGACCTGGCGTCCCGGAACCAGCTCACCAACTTCACAAACGCTGAGTGCGCAAGTCAATTCGGCGGCGTCTACCAAAGCGACTTTACAGCCGTGGTCCTCGTCACGGATGTCATCGCTCCCAGCAACGCCCTCGTCCAGACCCAAAAGTCCGGGTCCTCCCTCGCCCCCTTCATCGTCAACCCGTCAAATCCCACGCAGATCAAGATCAACAGCTCCTCGGTCGACTACTGCCTCGCCCGCCCCGAGGACCGCAACCCCTGCACCGTCGTTCTTAACGGCTCCCTCCTCGGCGTCATCGCCATCCTCAACCTCGTCTCCGTCTCCGCCATCGGCGCCGTCTACTTCTTCACCGGCTTCGAGCCCCTCGTCACCCTCGGCGACGCCCTCGCCTCCTTCATCTCCCAGCCTGACCACACCACCCGCGGCATCTGCCTCCTCGACAAGACGGACGTCAAACAGGGCCGCTGGGGCTACCGCGAGGCCAAGTACTGGACCTCGCGCGACCACTTCTGGTTCCAGACACCCGGCCTGACCCTCTGGACCTTTTGGCTCATCACCTGGACCACGCCAGCCGCGCTCGCTGCCGCCGCGCTCGCCGTCTCCCTCGGCAAAGACCCGTCCGCCTCCCTCGGCGCCTTCGGCAGCGCCCTGCCACACGAGCTCTACCCTCTCCCCAACGGCGGCGCCCGCGCCGGAGTAGCCATCGTCGCCGCCCTCCCCCACGTCCTCCTCGCCGCCCTCTACCTCTCCACAAACGCGCTCCTCTCCTCCTACTACCTCTCCCACGAGTTAAGTCAATACGCCCTCCCTGGCATCTCCCTCCCCCTCCGCGTCAGCTCCGGCCGGCCCCGCGGCACCCAGACAACAAGCCTCTACCTCACTCTACCCCGCCCCCTATCCTGGCTCCTCCTCGCCTTATTCGCGGCGCTAGGCCTCGTCCTGAGCAACGCCGTGCCGATGGTGTCCGTCGACATGCGGCCCGCCACCCGCGACGACAGCTTCCCCATGCCCATCAACGGCGTCGGCTTCAGCGGCGTGGGCCTGCTCGCGTTCCTGGCGCTGCTGGTCGTCGTCGCGGCGCTGGTGCTGGGTCTCGGTCTCCGGCGCGCGGACCCGTCGCCCACGAGCGTCGACGGGGAGAAGGCGGGCAACCCGCTCGTGCTGCAGGGCGGCGGGTGTTCCGCCGTGATTACCTCGCGGTGTCACCGCCCGCCGAGCGACGTGGGCGCCGCGTTTAGCAACGTCGCGTGGGGCGTCGTCGATCAGGATCCCGAGACTACCTTTGGGCACGCTACGTTTTCGAGTCAGGGTGTGAGCGTCTTGGATCCTGCCAAGGGGTATGCTTGATATTTTTGTCTTGAGCTTTGCTTCGGTCACGTCAGTGTCTGCATATTGTGTCTTATTCCATTTTCCCGTTCAGCTGTACATATTTTTATTTTCTTTCGGGCTCTACAGTACCCCTTTTGTCATGAGTCGGGGTCACGAGTGCTCTCTGCTGGTTTCTTGTTTCGAAAAAAAGTTTTCTGCATCTGGGAAAGGCATTGTAATGGTGTTAATTGGGGAAGTGTGTGTGTATGTATTATTGTTTTAAGGAAGGTCGGAGGGCAAAGTTGGTCTTCTGGCTTGGTAGCCAAGGACTTGAAACGACACAGAGATGGGAAATGAAATGGGTGATGACGATTGGGATCGTTCCCTTCGGCCAAATGGATGAACTGGACGCGTAAGGGACTGGACAGTCGTAGGGGAACGGTTATTGTAGTACGTTTATACCCTAGTGTTTTGCTTTGGCTGGTCAGGGAAACCAGGGACATGAGAAATACAGAAGAAAGCCTCTATATGAGGCTTGAGTTGAATTCAAGAAGTTTTTGGAACACAGTTTGGGCGTGTCACCATGTTGATATATGAATCTATGCCCTTCTATGTGGGAACTGGTCTCTTGATATACTCTTCAAAGACGAAGTCGCTCTGTTCCAGTCGCCCTGCCGCCCGCTTCGGAGCCCCTTTTACCAGGTTCTGTTTCGTTGAATGAAGCCTATGCGATACACTGGAGTGTACCGAGTAGCATCGCAGTTAACTTCTTAGAATTGACTTCATCAAATAACATGTATCGTTCGTACCAGGGGCAATAAGTTAAAATGACAAGACATTGTATCCTTGATCTGTATCTGTATCTATATCTAACGATATGGAAGATAGTTTATCGACCTCTCTTTACACCGCCAGATCTCTAATCCAAACAAAACTCTGTGACCCAAGCCAACGCCAGACTGCCCGAACCAGTACCTCTCAAAGAAAATTCGCACGCTATGCACCGGGTCGTCTCCAAACAGAAACGAATTGACAATGAACAAACCAGTCGAAGTCTGACACGACGCCTAAGCAAAGACGGGAGCAATGTTGGCCTTCTCGATGCTGGGCGTGGCAACGCTGAACACCTCGGGCCACAAGAACATCTTCTCCTCGGCAGGCGTGATGGCGACGAGCTTGGGGATCGCCGACTTGCTCGACATGCGTCTCCACATGTTGGCGCGCGGGTTGAAGGCGGCGGGCATGCCCTTGCCGCCCGTCTTCTTGTCGTCCTCGTCGCGGATGCGCTGGATCTCGGTCTGGATGTCGGCAAAGGTGTCAAAGGGGATGTAACCGATCGAGTTCTCGACGCAGTACTCCTCCAGACGCAGGCCGCGGCGCGCAAAGAGCACGTCGGCCTGGCGCGCGGCGGGCAGGTCGGAGACGCCGTCGCCGATGAAGACAATGAGGGGGATGGTGCCGTCCTCGCAGGCCATCTCGGCCTGCTCGCGAGCCTCGCCCATGGAGAGAGCCTTGTCGTGGCCGAGCTCGTTGTCGTGGCGCCAGATGGGCTTCCACGCGGAGCCGTCGTCGGTGATCTCGGCCTCGTTGGCGACGATGTCAATGTGCGCCGAGGCGTCCTCGCCGAGGAAGGTGTCGAGGACGCGGCGGAGGATGGGCTTGAGGCCGGCGGAGATGACGTTGAAGGGGATCTCGTTGGCGATGCAGTACTTGTGGAACTCCTGGAAGGCCGGGTCGATCTCGAGCTTCTTCTCCATCACCTCGAAGCCGTCGTCAAAGGGGACGTTGAGGGAGCCCCACATCTCCTCGGATACGTCGCGGAAGGAGCGCTCGCCGGACTTGATTTGCTCGTCGAGGATCTCGCGCTGCTCGGAGCCGCAGCCGTGGGCGTCAAAGAGGATGTGGCCGGTGTCCTGCATGAAGATTGTTCCGTCAAAGTCTGGAGGATTCGTTGTCAGCAAGTGGCGGGATCCAGGGGTGAGCGGAGGTGATCTTACCTGAGAAGCAAATGATCTTGCGCTTCTTGTTTTGAGAAGCAGGCAGGCCAGACTCGGCGGCGGCCTTGACTGTTGAGGGAGAGATGGCGATAGGCATTGTGGCGATTGGAAGATTGTGTATAGTTTGGTTGTATCGAGATGTAGGAATTTACTGGCACTGGAAGAGATACTTATAGTCTCGATTAGATACGTAAAAGAGGTTAGGTAGTTGGGAATTAAAGTTGTCACGTCCAAGTTTCAATGGGAGGTGTCCAGCTTTAATAGAAGTCAATGCAATGCCCACATGCGATACTGCCGAACTCTCGACCGAACCGGTAACGGCAAAGAAAAGGGAAAAAGGCGCAAAGCCAGCCGGCCAGCCAAAGCATCCTCTTCACGATGACGGCCTGAATTCCGAAAGGCAGTTAGCTTTTTCTTCACACCCCTCCCCGCCAACCCCCGTCCCTCCCCCGAGTCCTCCGCCAAATACGGGGCGTCAGGGCGCGCCAACCTGCATGAGCAAAGGGCTTACACGGAAGAGAAACCATACCAGAACGAGGGGGGGTCATGGATCATGGCCGAACAAGAAGAACCCTAGCCAAGGCCAGCCAGCCTTTGAGCGAGAAGGACTCCGCTCTCGTTGGGATTCTCAAAAGCCGCTTCCGGGATGCTACTGCACAATGGCAAGCGGCCGAGACGCCGACTCGGACGGCGTCAACGGGCGCACCGCAGACTGCCAGTCGCCAATGGACACCACATACGATGACGGCGTCTCACAGGGCCCCAAAGGGCAAAGGCATCTGGCTTTTCCGAACTATGCCCACTTGGGACGTTCTAGCGCGAACGAGGAGCAGGGCCAGGTTCGAGCAGTGTACGGAGTATGACTGGCTGTTTCCTTTACCCCCCTTTCTCTCTCTGACTCTTGGGCTTTTTTCAGAGTTGCGGGATGGGTTGCCGTACCTATTGCCACGCTCCCACACCCTCTCACGGGGAACGGAAGGCGGCCGGCTGTGCAATCTGACAAATGGCTGTGGGCGATGTGGCAGACAGCCACTCGGGGGCTCCAACCAGGTCTCAGAGTCTAGCAGAGCCTCTGATGATCGCCAGGAGAAAGATTTCTCCAACGAACCCGGAACGAGTCCAGTGGAATGGCAGTCCTTGGTTCACACCTTATTGGCTTTCAGCCCTCCCAAAGCCGACATTCGAAAAGGTCAAAAACAAAGTGAACAGATAAAACCGTTTCCGACTGTTCGAGACAGCCACTAGAATGGCCGATAATGGCTGCAGAATCCGATGCTTCGGTCAGCGAAGCGTGCCCCATCAGTTCACTTGAGCAGGGGGGAAGGATCGGGAGGCGACATGATACATCCGTCCGAAAAGTGAGAGAGTATGGGAAAGAAAAAAAAAAATCAACAGAGAAAGGTGCCACCAAACAGAACATTCCAGCCCCCAAGAACCACGGTCAAAAGCCTGGCCGCATCAGTACCGGTACATAGGTAGACATGGGGGAAAAGGGAAATATGCCACCGAGAGCGGAGTCTGAAGCCCGTCGTCCCCACATTCACTGCGCCGAGCTGTTCCAGGCAAAGCAGAAAACGTAAGGAAAGTTGGGACGTGAAGATGCCAGAGAGGATGAATGTGCTGCATTGAGGGTGCGGCAGACGGCACTGCGTCGTTCCATGATGCGTGCAAGGATACATGGTGACGAGCCCACAGTCGTTTCTTTGCCAACAGCAGAGGCATGTGGCATTTGGTTGGCGGATGGGGGAAAACCATGAGGAATTAATGGGAAAATGGTCAAATTCGAGCTACCTGCACGGTGATGTCATTCCGTCCCTCAGTGGGGCTCTTTATCGCGTTGCTTGAGGCGTAAAGTACCTTACTCCGTAGTTGCTGAGAAGAGCACCAAAAGGGCTCTAATATGCCCTGGTCCGCGTCCGACATGCAGTTTAACTGCGCTTAACCTTCAACGAGATGCGCTAGCCAAGTGACTTTTTGTCGTAACGCGATGCGACGCGATGCAGGCAAGCTTGGCCACGGTGTACGTGCCTTGGTCGTTTGGCCCCCGAGTCGTTACTAAGTTGCTGCTACACTCCAGCTCGTCTAGCCCAAGGCCCGTGGAGATGTGCATATGCATTGTGAAAGGGGCTTGAGACTTGAGCCTTGAGGACGAGATCGAAACAATCGAGGTCGGGGATGCTGGGGCAAATGAGCGGAGCCTCCATCCTTCTCCAGTCTCCATGCTCGGAGCCTAGACGTGCCCTCCATGTTCGCTGCCCTCCAATGAATCTATCCCATCTGTAGCGGCCCGGTCTGCTCATTCGTCTGGTTTCCGGCTGACTGAGGTCTCGACGAGTCCTCGCCATGCAGTTGTGCGAGAAGCATTTTCTAGCCGATCAAGACCCATGTCCGTTTTGGCGGTGAACACAATGAGGCCTGCGCTGTACACATCAAGGTGAGCCAGACCAGTAGGAACCTGCAATCCTTCACAAAGAGTCCTTATCGACAACTTTTCATGGCGTCAAACCCCTTGCAAGCCGTCATAGGGTAGCAGACCTTGACCGGTAGGTTACGGCTGATATCGTCAAGCTACAGCAACCGATGACGTTGAAGGCGCTCACTGCATGTGTCTGCGGAAGTGAGATGTAGTGACTGAGCATATGCATCGCGCAATCTGTAATCTCGACCTTCTCTGAGCCCCGCGCGTCCGTGCAAGACCCTGAGTGCTCACTTTGCTTTACCCCTCCACGTCCGGCTTCGATCCACAATGCTAGACGGGCGAGACAAGCGAGACAAAATTCGATGCTGTGCGATGCGAAAGATAGTGGCAACATTTTTTGGTGGTATTTCGGATGTCCTGCTCATCATAACCTTACTCAAACTCAATCCTTGCCGGAAAGTCTGCTCCGTCAGTCAGAACTGTTCAAAGCGCAAGTTCCATTGGTCTATCCTGGCAGTAAGCCCTAATAGCAGTTGTTTGCCTGTGATTTTCGTACTTCTTTGACTCTAAAAGTTGGGAGAAAGCCCTGAGTCAGGCACATGGGGCCCCGGCCGTCTTATTGGCGCTTGGTGCTAATCAAGAATAGGAAGCCATGATGTCAATCTGCCGATGTGTAAAGCCACCGATCCGTCACCTCGGGCGGCTTCGGTCAACCGGCCCTCTCCGTCCTGACTGTCCAGTCCCGTCCAATCATGACCCGGGGGTTTGTTCATGCATGCCCGAAACGAACAGCTGGCCAGACGGTCTCGGCGAAACCATAGACCCTTCGAGCCCTGCCGATCACTGGCGGGTCGCGCGCATCTGGCAAAGAAGGAACCGACTTTCGGATCAAGCGAGGGCGAGCAGATGGGTATCTTCAAGTGGAAAGTAGTAATTCGAGTGGTCTCGTTGCGCTTTTCCGAGCCGTTGTATCTCCATTTGAGTTCCTCTAAACCGTACGCCTAACATTATGCCTCATCAGCAGTACACGCCGTCTACCTTATGCAGACACCTTGGGGCTGTACTTAGTCGCCGCCTTGTCGAATAGCGCACTCTTCTCCTCCAGGTCCACAAGGAACTGGTGATGGGGGTCCGCCGCCTTCAATTTCCTGTGTCCACGTGGTTAGCAGGTCGACTCGACGCCTTGGTCGTGCATCGGAACTTACTCTGTAAACTCCTTGGGATCTTGGCCCGAAATCACCGTCAACACCAGAAGGTTGGCAATAGCTTCGGCATAGCCTGCGTCCTTGGCCAGAGCCTGGTCCAGCGCTGCCTGTGCCTCCTCTGTACGTCCAAGGTGCAGCTCAGCAACGGCCTGAGAGACGAGAGTTGCAATGGACGACGTTGCGGGCGCCTGTGCAAGCTCCTCGAACACGTAGAAAGCCTGCTGATACTTGTCTCCGCCCTATACTTTCTTAGTCTTGTTCTTTCATTCGCGGTGTAGTTATCGTACCTGTCTCAGACCAACCCATGACTCGGCCAAGTTGACCAGCAAACTGTCCTGTGCCCATCGTCTCGCGGCGGTGACCTCCTTGAGGGCGAGGTCGTTGCGGTTCTGTTGGAGGTGGATCTGAACAATGAGGGCAACAGCGTCCACTGCGACTCCTGGGTCAGCGCCAATTCCTTCAACTAATGGGAGTCAAACGTACAGCTTCCCTGGTGCTGTGAAAGCAAGGCAAGAGCCTCTTCTGGCTTGCCCGCAGCCTGCAGGACTGTACCTCCAACAATCTGGACTGTAGCGTTCTCCCCCTCGGATGCGGCGAGCTTCTCGATCGTCTTCACGGCAGAATCCGTCTTGCCAAGTGCGCTCTCAGCGAGCGCTCCAAGGGCGACCAGTTCGGGCTCCTTCTCTCCCTGCACGTTGGCGATGACATCTTCAGCTTGACCAAGAGCGATGCGGGCTCGCAGAGCTAGAACGCGGGCGGGAAGCTCATTCTCGGAGGAAAGGGCAGAAGTATCGTAATCAATGACCTCCTGGTACTGGCCCTGGTGGAAATAGTTGTGGATGTTGATCAATTCGCCTTCGGCGGAGTAGGGGTCCATTTTGGCGGTTTCGTTCGTTCGTTCGGAGGGAGGTTGTCGTTGATGATTGATGCCAATTGATGGGCAGCTGCGATGTGTTCCCCTTGACCACTTAACTGATGTGGGGGCCTTTCAAGCAACGTGGAACCCTGAGAAGACACGGAGGAAGCCGTGGCCGGGAAGGTGGATCTGCCGGCGTGGTCTGTGCGCCATGGACGACTAGGAACCAACAACACCAACGTCCAGACTTGATCATCATCCAACAGCCCACCTTGAAGACACGAAATATTGGTGTAGGATTACGAAGCTCGTTATACGTGCGGTATGGAGAGATGAATGAGGCTCTCGCATCTTACACAGTCTGAAATCCGGTGTCCACGAGATTATCTCAAGTTGAACGTCTCTCTCATTGACATTTACACCATCTGTCTGACACCGCAAGGTAAAAAAGCGAAAATGACTCCAGCCAAGTGGCCATCGATTCCCAATCCATGAAATCTTCCAGCTTCAATTTGTTGTGGTGTTGTTTCCCTGACGCTAATCAGCAATCTCTATAATGCTCGTGGAAGTGAGTCCTACATATCATTATCCCAGCGATAGCTACGGAAGGTAGCAACTTCGAGCATGTAACGAGGAGAAATGAGGCAATCAGCTTCTAGTGAAGGCTGTGAGAGAAAAACACGAGAAATATTCTCTGATAGAGACTAGTGTCAGTATCATTGCTTATTGCTTTTGATTCTACGAGTACAGAACATATCATATACCATTGAAATGTGTTCTAAGGGACTCTGGATGTTCGCCTTCTATGCGTATTACATACTTCTCAATGATTCGAGGCCACAAGGCATGCATTGAGAGTACTCATTGCATCTGTAAAGGAGGTGTGCTCACCAAGTCAAGTGTCCAGCCTGAAAGATGGGGCAAATTTCACCTGGAATATCGTCTGGAATATGATGAATGTACCAAAGACAACGATGGTAGATTGGTGTACCAATTCTTACTTCCTGCCACCTAGGCACAGGTGCTCTTTCCCTCAATATTTGGAAAACGACTATGCCCAAGTTAATGCATTTTCTCTCATCACAGTCCATCACTCTCGGCGATCACACAAGTATCACACATCTCGAATCCCCCAGTCACTCACCAACTTCTCTTTCATGGAAGTCATCTTCACTCCGCCCCTGATTTTTCATCTTGTGGGCTTGGTGTATGGCCTGGCTTCCATGAATCTTCTTTACCTCGTACTCCTTCCTTTTGTTGACGAAGATTTCCTCCTTGTTCTGCTTAACGGCTTATTCTTCCGAACCGCTCACGTCAAATTCCGCTTCCATCTTGCCTTTCGCCTCTCCTTCGACTGAAGTTTTGACGCACATCACTCCGTCCGGACTCGAATCACCTGACCTACCCGTCTGGTCTCCCCGCTCATCTCACGATGGATTCTTTTGACCCGCTTGAATTGAGGGAGGCAGGCCCTCAGAAGCCTAGAGGGTCCCTTGAGCCCAGCGTCCTCGACCGGAAGAGGCCAGTGGCTCGATTCCCAGACAGCTTTTCTGCCAATCTCGGTCGCAAGGCTTCCTCCTTCTTTCGTCAAGACGATTCTACTCCTGGATTCGACCAAAAATCCTCATCATCCCCTCCTCCCCTTCCCGAAAGCCAGAGCATCATTCATCGAAAACGAGACGTTTTACCTGGCTTACCTTCTCCATCGAGTACTCGCAATCGTCAAACATCCGTCGCGTCTTCGGTCAAGGCAATGGTCGCGAAATTCGAAGGAGCAACCGCTACACCCGAGAAATCAGACAAGATGTCTGACCACGGAGATTTCGATCTCACCCCCTCCTCTTCGCCCGTTGCCGACAAGGGCAAGGGCAAGGCGTCGTTTGATGAGTCTACTGATATCACCGCTGCTTCTGTCGCGACTGGTGATGCTTCTCAGCCCGAGAAGAAAAAGTCCGCTCGAGAGATTGCCGACCTGGAGCTTCTCAAGATGGAGAACTACTTCAATGACGAGTCCCTTGCGCGCTCTCTCGACAACTATGTTGCTCCGAAGCACATTCACACCAAGGTCAAGGTCCTTCCTCTCGAGGAAGACGAGGGCGTCTCCATGGTGAAGGCTGCTAAGATTGAACTGTGGAACAAGTTGGCTTCGCTCAATGAGGCCTTTGAGAAGCGCCACCCGTCTGCCAAGGAAGAGCGTCTCGCCCAGGAAGCTGCTTTCGCTGCTACCAACGCTCGTCTCGACGAAATTTTCGGAGAGTCATCCAGGCAGGGCGTTCTGAACGAAGAGACCAAGAAGTCCACCCGTGCCGAACGCAGAGCCGAGCAAAAGGCCCAGAAGAAGGCCGACAAGAAAGCCCAAAAGGCTCGCAAGGGTGAGATTCCCGTCGCTACTGCCCCTCAGGCTGTCACTCCGCCCACCCTTGAAGAGCACACCACCAAGGAGGCTTCGCTTCGCGAGAAGTATCCAGAGATCTACGCAAAGATTGACTACTGGCGCGCTCTTGGTACTGCCAAGAAGCCCTCCGACCTTCACGATCCTGCCGACTCTGGCAGTGAGTACACCGACGACGCCCACTCTGATGACGATTCGCTTCTTGAAGCTCCTTCTCAGCCTGTGACCCACGAGACCCAGACGGCCACCACCGATGGTCAAGCCGCGGAGAGCAAAAGCCAGACGAAGGAGGCCTCTACCGATGATGATTCTTCTTCTTCGGATGACGATGACTCAAGCACTGGCTCGTCCAACGGCGATCCGTTCCACTTGAACAAGTACCTCACGCCAGAGTATCAGGCAAAGGCCCAGGCTTATCTCAAGGCCTTCGACGAGGCTCAGGCTCAAGTTACAGACAAGCCTACCGATAAGCCCGTCTACGGACCCGCTCCTCCACCTTCCTTCACTCAGTCCGGGGGAAAGACCATCGCAGGCAAGCCGATTGCCATGGATAACCGTTCCCAGAAAACCGTGGAAAGCGACGAGTCTTACACCTTCATCCAGAGAGACCCGAAGGAGGTCGATGCGTTCTAGAGCAACGTTCGAACCTCACTTCATGTCTCCGACGATGAATTATCCGATACCGACGACGTCAAGGCTGCCAAGGTCTCTGCTGCTCAGCAGGAGCGAGATGAGATCAATCGTCGTGCGTACGAGCGTGTCAATGCCGCTCACGCCCGTGGTGAAATTGTTCACCTCGAAAATACCAAGCCGATTCGCGACACTTTCTCGACTGATATCAAGAAGGAGGACATCGTCCCCGGTTTTGGAAAGGGCAAGAACAAGCAGGCTCCTGCCGCCTTCGACGAGGAGGCCTACGCCGACCGCTCGATTGCGTCTCACACCATGAAGCCTGCTCCGCTTCGCATCCCCTCTCGCGCCAAGCAGCCTGCGGTCGACAACGACAAGGCCAGCGCCAAGGACGCCTCGCAGGCCCAGAGCAAGACTCCCTCCGTCTTCGATGCTCCTCGCTCGTCAAATTCCAGCAGGTACCGCATGGTGGCTGGAGAGTCCACCTCCTTCACTCAGGCCTACAACGGCAACAACCCGTTCCTGAACAGAACCACGAGCGGCTCTTCCACTCAGAGCGGCGGTCCGAGAAGTAGCGGTAGCGCTCGCAACTTCAGCTGGCCCAAGAGACCTAAGAGCAGCAAGTACGACTTTGTCGACAGTGATGACGAGGAGGCCACCAAGAAGAAGAAGAAGTCGGACAAGACTCCGGCTCAGACTCAGACCACCACGTCTAGCAGCAGTAGCTCCCCTAGGACTCTTTTGAATAACACCAAGTGCCTGACGGGCTTCACTCGCAAGATGGCGCCGCTCCCAAAGCCCCCGGTCGATGACGAGACTGGTGCCCACCGGAGCTTCACGCCTGAGGAGTACAAGACCGTCATCCAGGACGAGTTCAACCGTTTTGTTCAGCAGTCTCCCGGGAAGAAGGCGCGCGATCTCGAGACGGCTCTTGCCATCCTTAATGGTGTCCCATCTGCGTCCTCGTCCACCAGCCGTGCCCCGACTGCCCCGGCTCCCGCTGCTGCCTCGGACAAAATCACTCGTCAGACCGTGACTGTCAACCCTTCCCTGCAGCGTCCTGCTGTCCGCCTCGCCGGCGCCACGGCCCTCCCGCCCACGCCTGCCACCTCTGTTGTTCCCGCGACCATGTCCCAGCAGATGGCAGATCTGGATGACTTCTTCGCGGAGGAAAATAACAGCTATTACACCACCTCCGGCCCTGCCGCCGCCGCCACCGCGGCGGGCTCCAGCTATGCCTCGAGCTACAACTCCACCGCCTCCACTGGCGAGAAGAACCAGGGGGAGAAGGAGAGCCAGTACAAGGACGAACCCTGGAATGATCCCAACTACCACGAGGAGGCCCTCTCCCACGGCTACGCCTTCAAGAAGACGGGCTATAATATTCTTCCCGACGACATGGACCCTGTCCCCCTCACCCGCGGCCAGCGCCTTGAGGTCCTTGAGCACTTCGGCATGACCGAAGCAGACTACCCTGCTCCTCCCGCCGGCTACCCCAACCCTCCCGGCCCCGAGCCCGGAACCGTGGCGCCCCCTTGCCCCTCCCGCCCTGCTCCGTCTGTTCCCGGTCAGGTCACTCCAGCTGGCAGCATCGGCGGAGATAGCAGCGTCTCCAGCATTCACGGCGGCTACAGCGACGCTTTTGCTCCTGCTCAAGCCTATACCCAGGCTCAGGCTCCTGCTGCCATCCAGAGCCTCCGCACCCCTCGTCGCTTCCGTCGCGCTGCGACTGCGCCCCCCGCGCCTGCTCCCGACAGCCCTGCTCCTGGCTATGACGCTGACTGGTTCTGAGCGAATGAATGATGATGAAGCATGACGATACGAAGACGAAGAGAAGCACGAATGAAACGATTTACGAAACGATCCGAGACGTCTTTTTCTTTGCTGCTTTCCGAAATGCTACTGCTTGTTTTGCTTGCGACAATCAACGAAAAACCGAGAAAATAACAAAAAAAGCAGAAACGCCGATATGCTCAGAGTAACCATCATGGAAGCATCGTCGTCGAACGGAAACTTGGTATGGAATCTCTCGGCATTTCATTGTCTTGGAACTGTTCTTGAGATCAACCCGCCTGGATACCACGTCGCGAGATGGCTTCAGTACACAAGCACCCAAAAAAAAATTACAAAATCAACAAAAAACCCTGAAAAAAAAAAAACGACAATGTGTTGGATTACAGGAACTGGATAGTCACTTCTTCGACTTACCACTCTTCCCCTCGAGCGAGGAGTTACTATCTGGGGAAAAGAGATCAAGACAGGCAAAGTTTTCATTTGCTTCTTCGCAGAAGAATCTGGCTTGCTCTCGACTCCTTCCAGGATTTTGCAGCTCTACTCGTTCTTGTTCAGAATATGACTCTAGAGATATCCTATTCTCTCGAGAAAAGGCCTCAAAGTCTAACTCCCTTTTTTGCAATGGGCAGCTCGCATCTCGCAACCGTCTTTTTGCATGTTTGAGAATACCCCGGATTTGATTTCAGGGCAAGGTGTGGCGAAATGAGTTTTGAGGAAAGGAGGAATCGGACAGGATGGGAATATGGTGGGATAAGGGGAAGATGTTCTCGTGAACACTTTCATTCTTGATTGGTCTCCTCTTGCATCAGAGAGTTCTAGCCTAGCCGACCAAAGTAGATAGTCAACAGAATCGACCAAATTTGGATCGAGATACCGGGGCTTGTAGCTCCGTTTCCCCCTCGCGTGACGTGTAACTAGCAATGATGAACCTGCAAGTACAACTATGTTGGCCTATTGTGATAGAACCCATGCAGCCTCCCTCTTCCATCCGTTAGGCTACCAATACCCGTGGACCTTCCGCTCCGCCCTGCCTATCTCCTTTCGGCAGACCCTTCCTTCTATCAGGTCCTCGCGTCCTTCCTTCCTCTGTCCTTGAGGCTGCTTACACCCACCTGCCCGTCCTTGCTCTTCCGACAATCTTGAGATGCCAGATACTTCATCTCCTAGTCCGATTTCAGTGTAAGCAGCCTGCGGCAACAAATCACTCTCTCTTCCACTTATTTTGTCAGATAGAATCCTGTAGACACGCACACACAAACATAGAGGCATCAGAAGTTCAGAAAATTGTTTTAATTAGGTATCATCCCCCTATCCATGGCATCTCAGCCCCTGTCGGGTGACAAAGGCCATTGTGCCGACTCCATTCATCAACGTAGCCTCTAGTGCGCGTTAAAGGACCTCTTTCTTCTCCTGTGTATGTACAGCATCGGTTGCTGTGCTGCCAACAGAGTCTATGCCCTCTCTACAGGGCGACTCGACAGCCATAGGAAGAAAGAGAGTAAAAAAAATGAAAAAGGAAACAAAGGGAATCACTCTTGTGAAAATTATTCGCTCGTATGTCCAGGTCCATCGCCCTTCCTTGCTGGATCTTCTGGCTCTCAAGCAATCCCAGATACGCCGCCCCTATGCGGAATTCGTGTCCCTCATACATGACAAAGGTATATATAGAAAGGTCCCATCGTACAAGAAAGGAAGGAAGAAAGGGGAACTGATTAAGTGCCGCAAACACGTTCAAAAGGGTTCCACCTCTAAGCACTCTGTGGCGGTGCCCCGGCTGTGCCATTGTTCTCCGATTCAAAAGCCAACTTCCGAGGGTCAGCACTCTCCACCTTGGGGAAGTTTGGCTTCTCCATGCCGGATACCCCGCTGTCGGTCTCTCCAAAGGTGATTCCGAGGGAGTCTGCGTTCTTCTTCGCCTCGAGTGCTCGTCTTCTCTCGTCTTCTTGAGCTTCTTCGAGGTTCATCAGCGCAGGAGGGCGGTGTCGCTGCTGTCTTGCCTTGGCGAGGGAAATGGTCTTTTGTTGATACGTCGTTGTTATCGCCTGGGTATCATCTCGGTCAATGGTGGCCTTCATGAGGGCTGCCATCCACAGTCTTCCTGACTTGAGATTGGGGACTGCAAAGTAGTGAACAGTCGGCTTGGTGAAGTTCACGGCGCGGGACAGGCCTGCGCGTGGTGGAACAAGCTTAAAAATGAACATGGTATCATCTCCCTTTTCGCCAGAGGCGTTGGCGTCGTGGCCGGTGGTAGCACCTGCACCGGTGAGCTTGGCGTGGAGTCCGGTCAGCTGTTCATTGTCGGCTGGAAGAACACGGTGGAAAGAGATATCAATGAGTCCCTTTTCTTGATCGTCATTCTCCGAGTAATAGTATGAAAGTCGGCGTCCCTTGAGCACAAACAATCGAGGCTTCCATGTGGTCATGAGGTTGGAGCTCTTCTTTCTCATCCACCCGCTGTAGTCGGCATCTTTGACGGCTTCAGCGGGGCTGATCTTCAATAGTCCTCGTTGGTAAGCACTCGTCTCCTTCTTGCCCTTCTTCCTGCTGCCCTTGCTCGCTACGGTGGTGGCAGTGCTGGGGCTCTTTGCGGTATCAGGGGAATCGAGCTCGAAACTGGGCCCCGCAGAGGGAGTACTCGATCCGGTTCTAGCGGGCGAGGGCAAGGGCGAGTCCTTCAGAGATGGGTCAATTGGCGAAGCCACCTTGTTGCGATCGCTCGAGACTGAATCCGAAATTGCGCGCAAGCCGGCCACCTTCATCGAGGGCTTCACAACAGCGGAAAGCCACTCAGCGTGAATTCCCTGACGGGCCGCAGGAGACTCGGGCACCGGAGAGGCACGAGTCTTGCCTTCAAGTTTTGTGACGCTGGGAGCTCCAACGTCCTTGACGGGAGGTACGGGCCGCGCAGACTGAGTGGTACTTGTTGAGGCAGTTCTTCTGTGGGCGGTGGACTGCATGCCGTAGTATTTTTGCGCGGCGGGGGAGGCCACGCTGTCACGGTTCGAGTCGACGCTTCCGAATCTTGAGTGCCTCGAAATAGCGGTAGCACTACGCACCCGTTGCTCCTCAGCGTAGCTGTTCTTTCGGCCGTGGCTGGCGGTGCTATCGCGCTTCCTAAGCACGTTGCGGCGTCGGCCGTCGACTTCAGTGCCGCTAAAGTAACCGCGGTCGGTATCGATGGCGGACTCAGGAGCGTGTAGACCAGACTGTTGCATGACGTCTTGAAGCCCGGTAGAAGAAAGTGGTCGGCTTGAGGCGCTGCCAAGGGTCCAGTTCCTGTCGAATGACGGTTGCTTCTTATGAGCGCCATCGGTCTGGGGAAACGTTCCACTCGTGGCCAGCTTCGGTGTCACGGTGCTGGCCATAGGTTGTCCCGTCAAACGGAAGTCTGTGGACGACGAGTGCCTGCGAGAGTGGTGCAAGTCTCTAACGGACGCAGCCGAAGGTCGTTTCATGTGAGATGGACGGGTGGGACTGTCGACAATCGGGGAGACTGGCGACACAATTGATGCCGTATCCAACTTCGGCGTTTGCGAAAAGGAAAGGCGCTTGCTTGAAAACGACATGGCTCTGTCGTCAACCGGTGTCATCCTGGGCATTGAGCTGGTCAGGGTGTCGGCCCGGCTTCTAGACCGCTTCGCATCTTCCGAGCCCACATCACTGCCGTATGTCTGTGTCGTCCTTCTCGTCGTAATGCCTAGGTTGTTACACTCGTCTTGCAGAGACTTGATTTTCTGCCACGTTTTGAGTCTCCTACCAACAGAACCCAATTCGAATGCCTTGATGAAGAGGGAACTCTGGTCCATACCCAGCAAGACTTCACCGGTAATCTCTTGGTCGCGGAATACTTCGCAGTGCGATTTCTCAACGCCGACTGTGAATAGATACTCGGCAACTTGGTCCGGCGTCCATGCCTCCACCTCGGATCGACTATGCATGCCCTCCTCTTCTTCGTCCGTTTCTTCGCCATGGATGTAGGACATTCGATGATCGAGCTGAGCACTGTATTCACTACCAGAGTCGGTGGGAGGGGCACGCATTGCGCCGTTGCTAGGCGTAGAGCGCAAGTCGGTGATATGCTCGTCGATAACGTTGAGGGTTTCGCTGAGTACATGATCCTGGTTCGTGTTGATACGGCCGAGGGCCGCGGAGGGCGGCGCACTCACGGCTGGCGGCGCATTCTCGATTGGAGCGGTTTCCTGCTTGATGTTGTTGAGAGGTAGAGTAACGGGGGCCGGAGACTCGGGCGGTGGCGTGGGAGTGGGTGGAGCGGCGGGGGTGGTAATCTTGTCGTCGGTCGGGTCGGGAGGGTTTGTTTGTTTGGATTCGTTCACCACTTCGGGCAGCGTTGCTAGTGGTTTCGAGAAGTTGTTCGCGGGTGCTGTCTTCGGAGCTGGCCTGGTATAGACTGAACCATGGATGATGAGCTTCTTGTTGTTTGCATAGGTTGGGTGCCATGTAGACGAACCTTCGGGAAACAGGCCGCTGTTTCCGTTGACGAGGTGCTTGCCCAGAAACCATCCATCTCCAAACTCGTCATCTCGTTCTATTAACTCAACTCGGTCGCCCTTGGTCAGGCTCAATTCGTCAGAGCTACGAGCAATAAAGTCATCTGCAAGAAGAGAAAGACGTCAGATGGAATATCACAGCGGAGAGACCCGGTCCGGCACTGTCAAGGGCGGGGAGACGAAGATGCTGCATGACGCGAGCGAATACGAGTGACGGGGAGCGGGACAAGGCGGGCGAGTGGGCTCAGGCGTTGTTAGCGGATGAGTGGAATATGAACTTACGTATGACCAAGAGGGTATCGCCAACTTCTGGCTTCTGGAGAGCCATGATGTCGACGATGCCAGGCGCCGCGACAGATGCGGGTGGCGTTTGCTGAAGAGAATGAGTTGTAACGGGATCAATACATAGGAGATGAGTTCGCTGGCTGGGCAGCCTGGTCTGGGCTGGACTTGACTTGGGTGCGACGACGACAAGGGGGGTGGAGACGTGCTGCTGGCGAAGCGAAAAAAAGAGTGGCAGTAGCCAGGGATTGTCAGTTGTTCGGCAGCTGGGACCAGGTAGGTATCAGGTGGTGACCGTGGTGGGCGGATAAGATGGTGAGGAGAAGTCGGATTGGAGGAGAGAAGGGCGAGGGTGGTGAATGGGAGATGATTGCGGACCGGGGTGGAAAGACAGGAAGGAGCAAAAGTTGGACGTGTTGACGATGGCCCCCAAAAAGGTTGTTTTTCTTGTCAATATGTCGAGGGCAAAAAGTTGTGGTTGACGTTTCTTTCCCACGAAGATGAGGTCTCCTAGTCGTTCTCGTGTCGGACTCTCCTGGGCCGGCCACTCGGTGTGGTTACTGGTGTCGTCGGGCTGAAGAGCTGACTGCCGACAGCGTAAGAAAAAAAGTGGCGAGTTGTTGAAAAAGGGTCGTTGTTAGCTCGGGGGAAGCAATGGAAGCTGAGGTGCGAGGTTGTGCTCAAGGCAGTGTTGTGGGATGTGATTGGGGGGACACAGAATTGGCGTAAAGGGCCGCTATTGGGTCATTGCGACGTAGAGGTAGGGCGCATAGACGACGCTGGGGACTTTAGTGGACGGATGATGGAGTAGGACGGGTCAGACGAAGCTGGAGTCGATGGTGGTGAGGCGATCCCAAATGGAAGCCTTCTGCCGTCCGCTGTACCGCTGTGCCGATGCACCTGCACCTGCGCTGCGCTGCGTAAGGTATGCGCAGACCTCTTTGCGGTAGCTTGCTTGTGGTCTGGCCCGAGAAGCTATCTAATGAGATGCAGACCTCGAGGTTAGTTTGGTGGATTTGGTCAATGTGAGGCCGACTGGGCAGTCGTGGGCTGGTGGTAAGTTGCTGACGGGTGTTTGATGTGGTTGTAAGGGGGAGGGGAGGAGAAGTCCGTACTGTGAAGGCCGAAAGTCTAAAGTCTGATCCAATTGACGTCGAATCGTCGTCGTCGTCGGTCGAGCAAATATGCAATACGAGGCAGAGAGAGACCTGTCTTGGTGTTGTTTCCTTCCTGAGGCAGGGTCGAGCAGTGTGCGATCCGCAGGGATGAATAACAAGGAAAAAGAAGAAGAAGCAAAGGTGAGCCGTGAAGGCGCACGGAACTAGAAGGTGGCAGGAAGGGGCCGCAAGCTTGGGGGGTTTCGAGTTGGGACGGAAGGAAGGGGCCGCGAGATGGTGGTGGTCTGGTCGAGGTGCAACTGATGGATGGGATGAGCGAGGTGAGGTGAAGCCTAAGGCGACAGCAGACGATTACTGGCTGGAGCTGAAGCCGTGAGACCTGTGTCCTAGGAAACCTGACAATAAGGTGAGGTCAAGCAGTAGGAAGGAATGGAAGAAGGCCCAAATAAGGAAGGGGGCTTGCTGATACGGGGACCGTGTGACGAAAGCGAAGCTGACGATGCGGAACGCCCAATGCAAGGGACGGCAGCGTCCGTGAACCCGTTCCTGTTCCTGTTGGTTGAAGTCGCCGTGGCTTTCTGTGCTCAAGGCAAGGTGCGGCACCTTGGAGATGATGATCAGACCAAGGTTCAGAGCGCGCCAAAGGTGGTTGCGTACTCGTTGGATCCGGCCGGGCGGGATTTGCTTTGGGACCCAGTGCTGCTGCTGCTGATCTCTACACCGAGAAACAACACGAAAAGCAATGGATAATGGATGATAGATGGTGACGGTGGAGGTAAGGTGGTACAATCTAAAAGTCAAGCAGGAGCGAAGAGTTTGGTTATACAATAGTTTTGCATCCGCAGGTAAGGTAGTAGGTAGTAGCTAAGGCTAGAGAAGGGCCCGATAACTTTGCTTGATGAGGCGCAGTTTGAAAGGGACAGGCAACATAGGATAAAGAACCGCTTCTCGGTCTACAACGAAACACACAAAGGCCAGGAAGAGGCGCCTTGAAGCTAAAGTATCTATGTGGAGGCACAGAAGGACTCCCGGTTGATCTCTCTTCAAACTGCAGTAAGTGCCTTCCTACGGAGTACATTAGAGAGGCTAAAAAATAAATAAAAATAAAAAGTCAAGTGCGGATTCAACCTGACGGGAGGCAATAGATGCCGCTGAACGGCGCAAATGATGCGAGTGCTGCGAGTGATCAATCTGGAAGGCAACGAAATGGAATGGGAAGGCAGGCCCAGGCCGGGGCCTCCCTCCCTCCTTCCTACCTATCCGCCCTTACCACAACGGCAAATCTCACCTCAACCAGACGGGACTTGCTAGATCTATCCCAGTAGGGCAGGTCCCTTAAAAGACGCGATATTGGAACTTGCGATGCAGATGGACACGCATCATAGTCATACACACTGCAATCTTTACTACCTTACCATCCGGACCCGTGGGAAATGTGGTTAGAGTTCACTGCTGCGAGTAGCAGATGGCGAATGAAGTCACTGATACGAAGAAGACGTTCTTCACGATCTGACACCATCCCGAATTCCTGTCTCGGCCACATCATCAGAATTTACCATGAGATTCCAACAGCGGGAAAGCGGACGGGTCTTGTTTTGTTTCGGCTTCCGGCTCATTTGGCTTCCTTTCCCTTTCGACCCCTCTCATACCTCCACGATCCACAACACACAACACATCCGACACCTTTACGATGTGCAAAGGCAGCCCAGAACACCGCCATACGACTTACCGTTGACCAGTATAGCCCGTCGCCGAGCCATGCTGACGAGTTCCCCGTTTCTTCCGTCGCTAGGACATGCTTGGCTCCAAGCTCACCCATTGCGTAGCCAACCGAACGGACAGTCACGGCCGTGATCACGCATCCCTATCTTTTGGTACCCACCCCGAAGGAACAACACACCGGCGGTCCGTCCGGTGCCCATCATCAAGTTTCGCCATTTCGCCATGCGTCAAAAGACCAGACCTTACACGCGCCACGAGGCCCAGCGGAACCAGGGCATTCCCATTCCCCATTTCCTCGTGGACACCAGCAAGACGATTGGAAGTGGGAGGGGGCCAGGAGGGGCATCTTGCAGCCAGTGTGCAGCGGCTGGTTCCCCCGGCACAGCAAGGATGGCCCGGAGCCGCGAGCAAACCGCTGGCCCCAGACACGCCCAATCACAATGGCTGTCTGTGTCGGTCGTGGTGGGAGTGGCAAGGTGATGCCCGCTTCGCCAATGCAGTTAATCTGCTTGCTTTTTAACATTCGGGCGCGTCCACCTCGAATCACGGCCAACTGGGAAAATTGACAAGCCAGGGCAGGCTGGGGCGGCACGCAGACTCACGTGCCCACCATTTCCCATCTCTTTCCATCCATACCTTATTGAATGAACTTGGGGGAATCAAAGTTCGACGAAACAGGACGGAAGATTCTGCATTACATAATCTATCTGCATAGCAGGCCTGCGCTTTCAATCCCCCAGAATAAGCAATTCGATAATCGAAGCTAGCGAGATGGACCATCGGAGTTGCTTCCACAAGTTGACAAGTGTCCGTACACTACGCATGCGGTGCAGACCCCGGCCTGGCCGCCGTCAGATACAAGCGTATAGAAGAACGACACTTCTTCAGATGTTCTACCTAGGTGTTGGTTCTTGAATCACCTTCCGAACTTTTTGCACTGATTTTGGCTACTTCTGTTTGATAATGTAAATACGAGCTTGACCTTATGTGAGGGAATGGTTCGGATACAGACCAGCAACTATGTTCTCCCAGTATCGACTTCTATCATGGTGCAACCTCTTGATAGGGCTCTGGAGCCCGATATCGATACCCCTCGGCTGATGAGGAGAATGATCACAACGTCACACATAGGCATCGGTGGCTTATATACCTCAAGACCCCCAATAGCTGTGACGAGACTGGTTACACAGAGTTTGTCTTCTGGAAAACAGGAAGAAGCAACAGTGACAAAGCAGACAAAGAACTGCCGCTTCTTGTCATACCCATCGCCCCAGTGCCCTGAGCCACTGTCAACGGTGAGAGACAAGACATAAATGATGTGGAAGCAAGGGGCGTGTGCCATGAGGTCCGGTGTCAAGTTGCATACCTACCTATCTCGAGCGTGTGAAGGGAGGTTTTCCAGAGTGCAAACAGAAACATCCATAAACCTGGACGCCTTTCAAACACAAGGGACCTATTTGCACGTGGATGTGAACTTTCTATATATAGCTGGCTCTCAATCTACTGCGTGTATTCCATTGAATTCTTGAAAGATAAAATAGGGTTAATGCAGGGTAACTCTTTGATTTCGAAAGCAAGGGGACTCTGTCGCTGGACCCATCTTCATCTGGTTTCTATGACTTCAACATATTATCTATCTACAACACCCATCGGGAAGTCCTGAGCTAAGTTAACACCCAAACTTTGGATGTTTGCTAGGAAACCGCATTGTGAAGTGAATAGTGTAGGTGCGGAGTAGGCTTCCATGAATTGCCTCTCTCCCTGCTGGTGTTGATATGTCCATGCCTGCAGTACGTGCGCACATACACACATTAGGTTTGCAAAATATGGTCTCGTAAGTTTGTGACATCTTCCGCATGCACTGCGGATACAAAAGGGGACACTATGCTCAACTTCTCAAGGTGCGCGACGAACAATTATGATGATTGAATGCCTCAATTGTGACTCCACTCAGCACTGTCATCGGTGCCATCCAAGCCATCGCAAGTCAATCTAGAACGAGACGGGTATCGTGTCGAATGGCGACTAGCTAAGTACCAAGCCAAATTCAGACTAACGCATCCCCACCTCACCAATCGTCAGGGCCACCCCCAGTCACTACCATCTCGGCTCCGGCCTTAGCGTGGCAACTGGCAAACACCTCCCCCGTCGTCCCATCCCAAAGTATTCCAGTGGGCTCTTCCATTTACTCCAATCTTCCAGCATCCCTTTGGGCGGTCCTATTCATTAATTCTGGCCGTTGTCCCCAATCTTTGGTGCACGTCCCCTGCAAGAATCGACTTTCTCTCATCCAATTTGGCCCAACCCGGAACTTTCACCACCGTCGCCGAAGTTTTTCCCGTCCCGAATGTCGGATCGTCACTTCAGTTGTGGAAAGAGCAACCCAACTGAAGTAGATCTCTTTTACACTGCTACATTGTTTGGATACACTCTCGAGTTTCACCGATAGTCTTCCCAGCATCGCGTCGCTGCCCACAGCCACCACTTGACGGGGGTCTCCTCGGCCGCATACCGGAGAAAACAATACGCCACGCCGGACGTCTGCGACACACCTATTCGAGCTCGTTGCTTTGCTATACACATCTACACGCCTTACCTTGACCTCGGATCACGACGAGACCCGCCGAGCAACTTCGCCCTACGAGATATCTGAGGCGCGCCTTCTCGAGACCTGCGGCGTCGCGCCTGCCGTTGTGTCGAATATTGCTGTCCACCGAAACGGGACGAGACCTCAAAGTGCAAGAGTTCCTGGAGGCAAGAGGGGTCGAACCGCACTCTCCCTCTTGGTTCAACCACCACCCTGCGACTGCCTCCCCCTCCACTTGAGACGGTTGCTCTTTCCTCAAGGTATCGACACAGAACCTGCTTCCGACTTCGAGTCTGACTTTTGTTGGCTGGCGACCTGTCACTTCAGAGCTAGCTGAGACTTCGGCCTCATGGTACGCGCACACTTTTGCTTTTCCTTTCTCTTGATAAACCACAGCCTCGTTAATCAAAATGGCCGACTCCAGTCTCGCTCAAGATTCCCCTTCGCTCCCGCCGCGCTCCCGCCGCAAACCCCGTAAACGACCGCCCAAAAACAAAATGTCACCTCACAGGGCCCAGCAAGATATAGCTGGAGGGCCCCTCTCAGGAGCGCAGGTCGCCCGCTCGAATGAGACTGTCAACTTTCTGCTGGGGAATCGTCGTCCAGCATGGATGACTACGCAAAATGAACCAGCATCTCGCAGCCCCCATACGAATAAGGGGCCCACATCAAGAAATCGACAGGGTGTTCATGGTGTCCCGATAGTCCCAACCCAAGCGCCCCGGAGAGAGTCCTCGACAAACGCTACGAATCCCCCCTCTGTGCTAGGGTCTGTCGCGCCGTCTGCTTTCCGACTTCGACCGCATGAAAACCTACAAGACAAGTCGACGGCTGCGCTTGAAACCAACCAACTCATAACGTACTTCCCCTACCCTATTTCATCTTCTGGAATCCCGCAGTCTTTTCCCTCGTCCACAACGCCACAACTGTCTCTAACGTTTTCCTTCGGCAGTGATTGCGCAGCCGCTCTTCCCTCTCCGGCACCAACTGACCAACCTAGTCCTCCCACAGTCACCTCAAATCAGACCTCGCATCAAATCCGAGAGACTTGCCTTCAAAGTCCAGAACTCGGGCTTGATTTCGCAGCCAACAACTCAAACGCAACAACGGCTTGGACTGGCGAGACCCGCGCCCAGGAAACACCAGCAAATGTGTTAGCGCAGAATTTCTCGGGAGCTGGCGCTGGAAGAGCTGTTCCAGATCTGAGCAATCCGATTCCTTTATCAACAAATATTCATTCCACCTCAAGATTCTCCCTCTTCGAACCTAGTGAGCACCCAGCGCTGTTGACGCCGTCAATTACGCTTCCGGGAAACCCATCGAGCTCGGTCTCGGCGTCACTCCCTCTGGTTCCCGACTCTCAAGCCGCGCCTAGCCCTACGCTCAATATATCATCACGACCATCATCCGGCCAGAATTCTAGACCGCCAGCGGTTCCAAGTCCGCTTAATGCTGGTCACCACCCGCCACAGCCTCCTGGCGAAAGGCAAGATGTCTATTCCCATGCAGTACAGCCCGCAGGAACTAGCCGGGACGCGCTAGATAGCTTCCTTCAAGTAGTCATGGCCAAGAACCTCGACAGCTACATATCCGATCGCGGCGGCATGGCCAAACTTCCAGAAGATGGCACCACGGCACCCAGAGTACGGCTTCTCAAAGACGCCATTGAGAAGGCTGATTACTTCTACATAGTGCTTCACCAGATCCTTTGTTTATGGACGCTTGACACAAAAGCCGCACAGGACCTCCTTGGTCTTCCTCCTGACGTGACGGACAGCGCACTCGGCATTGTACAAAATGTTCTTCGGAAGAACGAAAATATGGGCCAGGACACGATTTTCTTCTTCGCAAACTTTCCAGCTAGTAGTGCCTCTGGGCTTTGGCATACTGAAGTCTACCGCAACCATACTGGGGACATTTCCAGATTCCTAAACAATCTCCACGAACAGTGGAACAGGATTTTAGTTCCTGCCATGCGACCTCACTCAGGTCGAGGCTATCCTATCTTGGCAGACGAATTACGCTATCAGCTCAAACTTCGGTCTCCGATTCTAGAGACTATTTTCTTCACCGTCACTAGGAGACATACTGGTGTCCCAGACGGGCTCATCGCCGATCAGATGACTGCGCTATTCCGACAAGATTCTCAGAACGACCATACACAGATGTCCGAACAGGAGCAAAGGGCGTTCCAACACTCGCTAATTTCGCGATACAAGATCTTGGTCAGTCAGAGTCAACAGCAGCAGCAGCAACAACAACGGCAGCAACAACACCAAAAACGGCGAGTAGCACATCAGCAGCAGCAGCACCCTCAGCAGCAGCAGCAACAGCAACAGCCCCCTCAACAACAGCACCACCAGCAACAGTCGCATCAACACCAGCAAGCTCACCTTCAACAGCAACAGGACTACGCAGTAGCAGCCGCCATAGCACAACAGCAAACCGCCATCGGCAATCTTAGAAGGATGTCTACCAACTTCTCCCCAGCACAAGCCAGGGCGCCAACACCGATACAAAATTCTCCCACTCAAGGGTTTGACGTGTTTCCATCCCCAACGGCTGAAAATATAGCCGGGATGCCAAACTCCTTTAACCAACGCGCCGGACCGGTACCGTCACAGTTGAGGCTGCTCAGTCAACCCCTGACGAACCAGCCCCTGACCCCAACAGGCTCGCCTCACTACCCCAGCATGCAGTTGCCACATGTGTCACTTACTCCAGGGCAGATATCTCCAGTTCTCCAAGCACCTCCAGGGGGGCTATCAATGTCTATGCCAGGCCTGACATCGCCTACACAGGCTGTCACCCCTAGAGCCCCCTCAATTCATCTGCCTGGGGTGTTTCGTGATCCTCCACATTATCAGGCTCAACCCCATAATCTAGGTTATCAGCTTCTCCAGCAAGCCCGCGATGCGGAACAAAGGCGTGCCAGGTCTCGGCAACTGGGTACTGCCCAGAACCAAGCCCAGGCTATGACGCAGCTGCAAGCTACGAACGTGGCCTCCCCTAGAATTCAACTCCATCACCACCACCATCACTCCTCTCCGCGGCCTCAAGGAATGCAGCAGGGGCCATCACGTGGAGCGGCTGTGCGGACACCAGTAATGCAGCAGCTGCCTTCGCCTCAACCTGTCGCTTCTATTTCGCATGCGAGCCCAAGAGGTTTGGGAATTACTCAGGGAGCCCCGAGTACGCAAACAACGAGGACTCCTTCAGCTAGCTCTAGGCCAACTCGTGACGCAGCAGGACGGCTCATAGGCAACCTTTTCCGACCACCCAACGTGTCGATTCCGCTAGATCGTATACCTCATACACCTTGGGAACCAAAGGCTGTGGGAATCGCACTTCATCAAGTCCAACTTCGGAGTCCGAGAAGAGTGCCACGAGATTTACCCAGGTCGGGCGACCAGTCAAAACCAGTGAGGTTTTATCAGTCCATCAAAGAGCTTGCTCTAGGCCCGATCGCGACACCAGCCAAGAATTGCGTGCACCGCCTCGCCTTTGTGGTGCCCAACGAGCACTACAACAGGCTCTGCCCAATGAGCAATTTGGTTGGCGACTGTGTTCCAGTCTCGGAGTACTTTGAAGGGTCTCTTCGATACCGTCTTCGTCTCTGTGAGTTCCCAGTCAACCCGGCCGAGCCGGCAAACATCTCAGAATCTGTCTGGGCAGTAGCGCAATCCTACTGGCCTGAACATATTGCTATCATGGTCAATGACAATATCGTTGCGGTCCGCCGAAAGCAGCATAATGGGCAGCACCTGCCTGTGGAACTCACTCCATACATACTAGCTGGCACAAATTCAATAACCGTCAGCATCAGCCCCATGCCCGCGGCTCAAAAGCCGAACATGATGTATTTTATGGCTGTTGAGGTGGTTGAGACGCTAAGTCATGATAACATTGTCAATATGGTTTTGAGCCAGGGCACAATCTCGGCGGACACGACAAAGCAAGTTATCCGGAGCCGTCTGGAACCAACGTCTTCCGATGGGGATGATGAGCTGGTTGTGGTTGGCAGCGATCTCAGCATTGATTTGGCCGACCCTTTTAGCGCCACGATATTTCAAATTCCAGCACGCGGTGTTAGCTGCACGCACATGGAGTGCTTTGATCTGATCAACTGGCTACAAACCCGACCGGCCAAGCCTAGGTGTACCGCGCACGGGGCTGGCGATGCATGCCGCGTTTGCAATCGCGGCACCGAAGGGAGACCTGAGCCTTCTTTGGTTGACAAGTGGAAGTGTCCTCTTTGCGACGGGGATGCTCGCCCGTATAGTCTTCGAGTTGATCAGTTTATGGAAGACGTTCGCAAGAGCCTCGAGGCTGAGGGCAAACTCAATACCAAGACCATTTATGTTAGGGCTGACGGAATGTGGAAAGCCAAGGAAGAGGAGGCTGATGATGACGAGGAAGATAATGCAGAAAACGGGCAGCCGCCAGCCAAACGGGCCAAGACACGGCCGTCGATATCGGAGCCAGAGGTCATTGAGCTGGACTGATTGCAAGGAGGCTGGAGCTTTGGACGTATGATTCGGGACCTCGAATACGCTCCCTTTCTTGCTCTGGGAAACAATTGTTTCTTTTTTTTTCTTTCTTTCTAATTTTGCTTTGCGCGGGCATTGGGATGCCGAAATGATACCATCTGCAACATCTGGGCGTTTGGGGAATTCGTGATAGGGTGGGATACCCTGCATCAAGGCATTGCAGTCCTACTCGTTTGATGAGAGGATTAGGAGAGACAACATGATCTTAGCCATCAGCTTTAAGCGACAATGACGATATGTACTGGAAGCTATAGTTACGTAGCTTCCAAGGCATGTGTACGAATACATACAGCACTTTAATAACCGCAAGTCTGCCATGTTATGGCTGTGAGACGACTTTATTCATGCAGAAAGTGTACTTTGGACATGGCTGAAGGTTGAGTATTTTTGCTCAAAGTGAGCTCGGCCATGAGTACACATGTTCCAATCATCTCAAGTTGGACGAGGTTCAAGCTTTGTCAGGCAGAAATTCAAAAGAGAGTGGTTCGCCTCTTAGTGCGAAGGTTGACATGGTGTCTATTTAAGGTACAACCCAAGGCCGGCAATGTCGGCAAGGTGAGAGGACTAAAGTACCTCAAGGCTTGAGGTAAGACGACTGGCAGCAAGGGAGTGACAGCGGTGGTGATTGGGTCAAACGCCCAATGACATCAACCCTACCTTACCTACCTTGCCTGCCAGAGCTGAATTCAACCTGACACATGCGTGGTATCTGTATCGAATCGACCCAACTCAACGCGCCCTCTTATCCATACTTACTGCGGGAATAAACTTGACTTCCTCTGCTTTGCTCTTGTGCTTCCTGGTGAGCGTTTGCAATAGGCAGCGTCCTTTTCCTTACACTTGCTTTGAGAGACAGCCGGAGCTTTTGAGCCTGCGCCTTCGGTCTCGGCTCCGCAGGCCTACCGGTACTCCCCAACCCAATTGTCACTCAGCTCAGACGGCGAGGCTTGGAAGAGGGCTCAGCCACACGCGTCTACGTCGCCTCCTTTTCAACATCACGCGCTGTTCTGTCTATACGGACAACGTCGAATTAATCATCGCCCATTACCAGGAAAGCCGAGACAGCGAGTTGTCTAAGCTTTCTGACCTTTTCCGCATCCCGCGGCGACACCAGACGATACCGACGACGCCGACTGCGCCGACTGTAGCTTCTGCCTCTTTCCACGACTTCCGACGAAAGCTCCCTCTCAATTTCTTGAAGGTTTCTGATCATCTGAAGCGAGCCTTTCCCTCACTCTTCTTCCGCCATCGTTCTTGGCTGCCTCACCATACCATTCCATACACCTCACTTCTAACGCAAAACAGTACGCGCAGCCAAGAGAAAAAAAGACCAAGACCGGGAAAAAATAGACACCACCCCACCTAGGTTGCTTGGACTAGATTGCCCCTCATTCCAATTCGGAGCTCGCACGGTGCAATACGTTCACTTAATTGAGGTTGAGGACCTGTTTTGAGACGTCTGGTGCGCCTGTTTGCCTGTGCCTCATCCCACCTCCGACCGGCGAAACCACCATTGCAGAGAACCAAAGTCGTGGCAGCACATTACACGAAGCGCACTGGGTACCTGAACCATATACCATCAACCGACGACACCTCCCACACCACCACCACCACCAGAGGATATCCTCTTAAACAAGGAAAGCGCGGACTGAGCGAATACCAGAAACTCACAACCATGTCGATCAGAATAGCGCTCGACAATGCGCCAGAGTTCTACACCAACCTAGACAATGTCAAAGGCCGCGTCGTGCTCCACCTCAGCAGGCCAGAGCAGATTGGCGGCATCGTCGTCAAGCTCGAGGGTGAGTCCAAGACCGCCCTCGGCCTGCCGCAGGACAGCTACCACGAGCGTAACACCCGGCCCGGAGGCGGGCCCGGGAGCATCGCGAGTGAGAACCACAAAATCCTCTATCGGGTCGCACAGGTTTTCCCAACGTACGAGGAGGATCTCGGCGGCGGCGGCTCGAGTTTCTCCCAAAGCTACGTCATCCAGGGAGGTCAGCACGAGTTCCCCTTCAACTTCAAGCTGCCCATCAACAATGCCTGCAGCGATCCCGTCTCCATGTCCAAGATTGGTGGCATCGGCGGCATGGGAGGCTTCGGCGCCGGCATCGGGCCCTTTGGACTCGGTGGCGCCCGGGTCATGGACGGGAGCAAGCAGCTCTTCCTGCAGCACGTCACCAAAACCTTGCCGCCGTCCTTCACCGGGTTCCCCCGGCAGGCCGAGGTGCGGTACTACCTCAAGGTCACCATCCAGCGCCCGGGCTTCTTGAAGGAGAACTGGCGGTACCAGATCGGCTTCAAGTTCATGCCCATCGAGCCACCCCGGCCACCAAAGACCTCACAGGAGGCCTTTGCCCGTCGACCTTTCACCTTTAAACCGCGGCCCCGGAGCTTACAGACAAAGAAGTCAACCATGTTCGGCTCCAGCAGGGACGACGGTACCGGGGACGCCAACGCCGTGCCACCGTCCATCGAACTCTCTGCCCGCCTGCCACACCCCCCGATATTAACGTGCAATCAACCTTTACCGCTACGGCTCATCGCAAAGAAGCTCGTCCCGTCACATGAACAGGTATACCTCACCTCCATCCAGATCGAACTCGTCGGCAATACCCGTGTACGATGCCACGACCTCTTCAACACGGAAGTCAGCAAATGGGTCGTCGTCACGCAGTCCGGTCTCAGCATCCCGCTTCTCACGGATCCAACCTCGGAAGACCTGAACCTCGAGAGCGTCATCCCGGACGACCTGTGGCGCTCCATCCCGCTACCCAACACCGTCGCGCCCTCCTTTATGGCGTGTAACCTCCAGCGCTTCTACGAGCTCGACATCCAGCTAGGCCTCTGCTGGGGTAAACCGCCCACGCGCAGCGGCTTCCTCAACTCGACAAAGGAGAACCCCGCAGCGCAGACAATCTACCTCCCGCTTCATTTTTCCAAGATTCAGATATACTCGGGCATCGCACCGCCGCCGCAGCTGCTCGAGGCGCTCGCGGCGCAGGCTAACAGGCCCGGCGCGGCGACGATGAGCATGCCGCCTAGGTTACCACCTCGCACGGCGCAGTCCGCCCCCGTGACGGTTACACAGGGGCGACCTCACGGCCAACAACAGAGACCACCGCAGCAACACCCTGCGATGGCGGCGCCGCAGTATGACCCGCTGTACCCGCCGCAGATGGGCACACCGGGGGCGGCCAACTTTGACGAGGCGCCGCCTAGTTACGATGAGGCTATGGCTGCGGAGGCGCCTGCGCCGGGACCGGAGTCGAGGCCGGCGTATAGTGGCGTTACGAACGAGAATGCGCCGAGTCAGATTCCGGAGAAGGGGAATTAGAGAAGGTGGATGAAAGCTGAGAAACGGGATTTGGAAGTGGGTGTGTTTTGATGTTTGTGTGTTTTGAGATGCTCGGGCTCTTTGAGAGATGAGGCGGGTGTACATGGGGGGGATGGGAATACCTTGGGGGGAAACTAATGAGTAATGTCGGGGTTTGTTTGGTGTGTTGAGAAAGCTGGTAGAGGCTCGACAGATGGACATCGACGTGGACAAGAGGTTAGCGGATGGTGAAGCGTTTTCGTTTATTATACCATGATCAATACTGAAGGGATGTCACACTTTGAACTACATGACTCTTCACAGAGCACTACTTTCGTGGCTTTATGACGAGGGAAGACTTTTGCATGTCTTGTTCTCGTGGTCTGCCCTCATCCGTACCAGATAAAGCGGAGCTAGAAGGATACCGTTTTCCAAGTAGCATGCCGGGTATCTCTTTAAGTATAGCATAGCCATTATTCAAGCCTCCTAGTGTCTATGACGTTATATCTCAGGCACAAGCCGCGTCTGTAGAGCTATTGACTGAGGCATCGCAGATGTGAGACATTTTTCTGCGCTTTCCGAGACCTTGTGTGTGTTCCTAGGACATTGGATTGAGTAGGTATTTAAAAGTCCGGTTATGAAATAGCTCAATACTTTTACGACGCAGCAAACCCCTAGTTGTAGGAATGGTGTGATGTTGACCAGCCATGATAGCCTTTAGAAACAGCGGGTGATCTGAACAAAGACGAAACACATACTGCCACAGCGTCCCTGCACGGGTCTTTCTGAAAGATGAAAGTAGACTTACTATATTTCCATTCCTAGTCGGTTTCGTATTCAGGGGTGAATAGAAGGGCAAGGGGGAAGATGGTTAACTAACAATGTAGTTTCTTGTCTTGGCCCAGTATATCTCGCCAAAACCTTGCCAAAGATGAAGATCCCCCAACGAGCTAGCAACACGTCCCGCAGCAAAGCAAGACTTTGATCGCGACAGGTTCTTGCCGGAGATATTCTCGCCTGCCAACATGTCTCTCGCTATGTTCTTGCCGAGGAGACTTTTCTCGATGCAGCGGACCTAATTTTATACTACTAGATACGACACGTAGATCACTCTAGTTAGATGCTGTCTCTACTTCACGACATGCCCTGAGGTCATAACAAATGAATAGAAAGAACAGAGTTACTACCCTACCTCACTATTTAAAGGCTGGCTTCTGTAGGAGTTTCAAATTCTACTAACACCGCCCTGTCCGTCTACCTCGTAGTCTGACGGTGCCTGGACTATGAAAATAGCCCTCACTGTTGGCACCTCTGTTCTAATTTATCGTATGGGCCATTACAGTAATCAAAACCGTCATCGAGGTATCAATCATTTTCGCTCTTATGCGTAGTATTCACCAGCGAATACGAGCCTGAGGGGTAGAGAAGAGGGGATGGTAGTCTTTAGCTAGGTACCTTTACCAGACTGCCCACCTAGCTTCAGGTACCACAAGCACCAGCTTCCCTTCATCTCAAAGACCAAGCCTCCTCTAGGGAGAGATCTCCTCGTCGCTTTCGGATCGATGCAGTCCTGTGTTACTGTACACGCCATGTGCGTTGCTGGCTTCTTGTTGTGACTGCGATTACGGCTATTTATAAGCTGCAGACAACGTGAGGCGATGAGTGAGTTCCTTCCGGCTAGAGCAGTGGCGACGGGACTATGGCACTTCTGAAAAGCACTGCCGACAGGGCGGCAATTGTTACAGCTATTGCGAAGCTGCCTGCATTTGACAACATCTACAGCACTGATATAAGGTATCTTACCTCGGAGATCTTAACCATTTCCATTCAATGCAAGAAACGCAAGTTGATGTCATTCATGGATGACAGGCAATCCATATATGCATGTACTTTGTGTGATGTACTTCCTCGGCTCCTCTCCCTCTTGTATATATCCCATTTTCGAGTTACAATACGTCTCAATACTTACAAGTCTTGCTTCATCTAGTCCTGCCGATAACGCCGTTGCTCGCTATTCTATTCCTTTTCCCTGCGTACTCTTACACGCCTCATAGTAGAGATTACAATCGTAGTCAACATCATTATACATACCCCCTTAACGTGAGTCTATCTCACCCCTCCTGATAGCCACCTCATAGACCCTCCTTGGCCAACATATCCGCAATATCGAGATAAAACGCAACAGCATTAAACGTCCTCGTCTGCCCCATCCACACCTTTCTCAACGTCCACTTGAGTCGATTCGACCAATTAATCAGATCCAAATGGCTCACGTCCAGCAGCGTACCCTGATACTTTCCCCACCGACTACTCGCAACGCTCACCAACCCGTCATTCGCGCCCTCAGCCTCCTCGATAACCCAGTGACTCTGCCGAAACGGACTCAGCAGCGGTGGCCGATCCGTGCACGCCCCATAACTAAAATACCGCACATCATCGCTGTCAGGGGTAGCAGGGTTAAATTTCTCCTCCATATACCGCTGCGTAAGCTGTTCAAAAGCCTGCGTACCCAGCCCGGCGCGCTCAATAAGCCCGTACAGATTCGCGAGCTTAATGGGGCCTTGGCCATCGAGCAAATAATCCGCAAAGGCACTCCCGCGGTGCGGCGTAGCGACGGTGACGAGACTAAGGACTTTTACGTCACGCGGCTTGAGGTGGGAAATCATGTAGCGGGCGTCGAGCCCGCCCATGGAGTGCGCGACGATGTTGACGGCGCGGCCGCCGGCTTTGGCGGCGATGTCGGCGCCCAGTTTCGCGGCGCGCTCCTCGATGGAGCCCGAGGGCGGGACGGAGGTGGTGATGATGTTGGACGGACCGGAGAGGGTGCTCAACGAGTCGGAGATGCCGCGCCAGTAGTGGATTGGCGGGACGTAGGCGCCGAGACGCAGTTCGGAGAAGCCCATCAGTCCGTGGGCGAGGACGATGGGATTCTTTGGCGTGTCTGGAGGGCGTGTAAGTGTGGGTGGATCATTGTGATCTGAACCGAGGCGGGTGGTGGGGGGAAAGCAGGAGGACTCGAAAAGGTACTAGGAGGACAATACCTATCCTAGAAAGGGCAAACACAGAGAAAGGGGAAAGGATGGGATCGGATAAGAAGGAGGGGGGGCAAAATGGTACCATAGTGTTCTCTGACGACGGCATACTCGTCCGATATCTGTTTGCCCAGGTCTCTGAACCTCGGGTCACCGTCGTGCTTCGGCCGCAAGGGCGAGACGGAGAAAGGACGGCTGTCCCGGGCTGCGAGAGGGCGAAGCAAGCGATGAGACGCGGTTGGCGCACAAATGAGCCGTAAGGAAGACGCGCAAGGGCGGCACCTCGAGAAGCATGCGTTGTTCATGGCATGGAAGGAGGAGCGCAGGCCGCCGCGGGCGCGGGGTGGTGGGGAGAAGAAAGAGTGAGGGAGAGAGAATCTGGTTCTCTAGTCACTTGATGAGGATTGGATGTACCCTCTGTTTGCCTTAGTTGGTTGGTTGCCCCCCTCTTTTCTGTACCGGTTTGTTTGCTTTGCTTGTTTTTCTCAAGGATGTGAATGGCCTGGCCTGGTTCCGGTCCCTCGACGTTTCTGTTTCTCTTTACAAGGTTCGTAATGGAGTGTGGAACGAAGATGCTTGCTCTGCAACCCCAAAGTCTGCATACGAAGTATGTGTGTGTGTGCTGCGGAAAGGAAGGAAGGAAGAAACGCGCATTTCTGAGCAATGAGAGGTGTTTGCCAAGCATGTTTAAGCGCCCGGCTCTTTGACGTCACGCAGCACCGCGGCCGCGAACAGTTTAGCGCGACAGCCGGGGGGGTTTCTCGGCCGGAGGGTCCACCGTGCGCTGGAAGTATAGTGGAGCCTTGGGGGCCTGGCGTGCGGCTTGCGGCTTGCCCTGGGCTGCGGCCGCTAGTGATTAGTGGACGGATGTCTCCCGCACAATCCACCAAGCTTGGTCAGAGCTTCTTTCTTCCACTTCCTCCTCCTATACCCTTGTCTCTGTCCTTACGCTCTGTGCGATCTGCGCCCTTGTCGACCGGGGGTTGGGATGGTCCATAGGCAAAGTCCATGGATAATGTTGTTGGTCTTGGTCTCTTTGCTTAGCTTCGCGGGCCTGCAGCACTGCAGCACTGCAGATTGCCAGATGCTGCCCTGAAGTTTGCCAATCCTATTCCGCCTTCGGGTGCCGGTCCCGGTCCTTGTCCTTGATCAGAGTTCAGACTTTCCCGTCCCAGGTTCCCCGTCACCCCAACTGCCAAAACCAACGCCCACCGGCCGTTGGTTCATCTCCTCGTTGTTGTCTTCCGCCGCCATCTTTCGAGGGTGTCTTGGTGTGAGGGCGGCCGCATCATGCAGCCTGCAGTTGCCTGCTGTGCGGTGCGGGCGTGCGCACACAGTTTGTTGCACTGCACCTGCCATGGCAGCCCATGGCAGGAGAAACAAATCTCGGGTACGTCGGCCATGATTCATCGGCTCCTGGCGATCGGCCAGTGCCCTCTCATTTTCCTCCATGTTCATCTTCACCCTCTCTTCCCTCACTGCATGGAGATCATCGATGCTACCGTTGGCTGGCCTCAGAACCAACACGCACGAGACAGGAAATCCGTAAGTCAGGCTTCAATTTTGAAACCTGTCTGGCCTCTCGAGTGCGTTTGCCCTTTCGCGAATGATATCCCATCGTTGACTGTTTCCCCCGCTTCTGGGACCACGTCTTGATTACCTGCCCCCAGCCCCCAACGTGTCCCCAGGCCTAAAGTGCAATGCGGCGTAGCAGCTCAAAGTTCAAAGGACTGGCTGTGAACCAATCTGTTCGACACCCTCCCGTAGCCATGCTGTAGGGCAGATGAGAGCAACGGCTGCTTTCGCCATTGGACGACGGCCCCCTGCTCACCGGCCGTCGAAGACCAACATGGCCTCACTGAATGACCGTCCAATGTAACCTCCTCATCTGCGCCGCCCGTGGGTAAACAGGCCGCAACCGCCAACCTTGCCTGCTTGATTGGTCCAGAGCTCATGCTGAAGAGGGCCCGGATCTGCAAACTTTCGACTGTTGCACCGTCGAACCGTTCCGCTGGGACGGCTTCGCCCTCTCACGCCCGCTATCCACACCCACACCTGCTGTTTGTTTGCTTGCCTGCCTCGCTGGCTCGTTGGGAGGCGTCAGCGCCTTCTTCTTCCTTCGCGGCAGTTGGGCATCTTAGCAAAAGCCACTCAGCACTGCTTCTTGTTGTGCAACAGTCAAGTTGCGTTTCGTCTTATAGGTACCGTCGTTGCTGCGTTGTCAGTCACCGATGAGAAGTGCTCACAAAGTTGCCCGGTTGAAGGTCGACTGAAGAAAGTTCTTGTTGGTACAACGTCTCTTCCGTAGTGGATGTATCCATAACGGATGAAACCGCGGAAGCTGATGGTGTGCCCGTTTGGATCGACCCCGGCCTGCTCTTGCGTGTACCTTACCTCCATCTCCGTCGGGCCGCTCGTCTTCATTGTCCACGGCCTCTGCTGCCCGCAATCATCCATATCCCAACCGTCGCGATTATGCAGACCGGTTTGCTGGAATGCTTGATCCATTACACACCTGGCTTCTGCCGCGTGTATATATCCCCAATGCCCGGCGCGTTTCTTCCTTTCCCGCTCCTTCTCTCGGCATGTCCAGCCACCCGATGGTCAAGCGACGCAACGTTCACTGTCGCCTGTCAAGTGGAACGTGAGCACAATGACAGGCGACTGCGGAGACTCGTGCCCCTACCCGGGGGGCTTTACCTCCTACTCGCCTTCGGTAATTGGTAGTGCCATCTTTTTGGTAGCCTTTGCGCTGCTCGTGCCTCTGGCCTTGTACCAAGGCTTTCGTTTCAAGACGCCCTTATTCGCGTCGACTCTGGCGACCGGTCTTCTTCTCGAGGTCTTGGGCTTCGCTGGAAGATTGAGGCTCCGAAATGATACCGCCAGCGGGACTTCATTCTCCCTTTGGCTCATCGGCGCCATCTTGGGCCCTACTCTCATCGCAGCGGCCATATGCCAAATCCTTCCCCATGTCATCGCCCTCTACGGTCTCGGCATTGGCTTTACCCGGCCAAGAGTCGCTGTCTTGTTCCTCATCTTCGCTCTTGCTCTCGTCATTGCATTGGAAATTTCCGGGGTTGTCTCAGCTGTCTTTGGGCTCGGAGGTGTACAGGTAAGTATTTCATCGTTCTGCTGCCTAGCAGTTTTCATCTCTAACAAGCCACAATAGACACCGTCGATTCTTCTTGCCGGCTTAGGCGTCCAGACTTTGGCGTTGCTGCTCTTCGTCGGACTGTTCCTCTGGTTCACTCAGAAGCTTCCTGACCCGAAACATATTGCCGTGTATCAAGCACCGCGTTTTAAGAACTTTGTCAAGAGTAAGTAGACCCATTGCCGCAGGACCAACATAGTCTGACGGTCTCTTCTCAGTGATACCAGCAGTCGCTGTCGTCTTGGTGGGGCACACCATCTACCGCCTCGTTGAGTTCTGGGACGGACTCAATAGCCCTCTTCAGCGGTCGGAAACCGCGTCACTGGTCATCGGAGGTGCTCTGCCATTCCTCGTCGCCTCAGTCTTATGCGTATACCATCCTGGTGCATCTTTCGGTCGGGCGTGGGGCCTGACATCGCCGCGATATCGATCTTTATCTCTGAGGTCGCGCCGCGGTGCTCCATCGCCTCTGCAGTCGCCAACTGCACCTTGGGACGACCACAAAGGACCCCGTCAGCCGGGATTTACTGCCACCCGGTTCCCAGACAAGAAGATGTCGCCCGTCGGAGTTGGCCCAGTTCCCTTGAGAGAGTCAACAATGGCAAGCAAGGTTGCCGGTAGTCCCGGCAATAGATCGGTCACCTACCCAAGCCCCATTGCTTCGACACACAAGTTGAGTCCCATCGGCTCACAACACAAAATGAGCCCAACCTTCCAGGGCACTCAACAGCCGACGAATCCCAATCGCTACAGTAACACCAAGCCCAACGCAAAGCCGATGGTAAATAGTGAAGAGCTGTGGTAGCGAGAAGTTGGCAAAGAATGGCTCTCGATTCGTGCAATGGTATATCCTCTTTCATGCGGTAGCGTGGCGTTTGATATTTTCGGTGGCTGAGAATGCTGCGGCCTTTTGTCTTTTTTGTTACCAGGATACCATTCTCCTGTATATACCTTGGGCGGCTAGAGTTGATCTCGATATTTATATTTACCCATAGCCTCTGCAGTTCGAGATGTAGACTGCTTGAGGTTACAAAGTAAAAGCCCCCGTTGCTTTCCTCCAGAAGAAGTATGCTAAGCCAAAAGCTGCGCCTCCGAGGTGTCCGGCATGTCCCACTCCTGTGTCTCGCTCGGTACTCAGACAATAGGCGTCCACGGCAAACATTCCCAAGACAACAAGGCGCAAGGGTAGAACCTGGTTTGTCCCGGAAAGGCGGACCTTCATCGTGGGAAACATTAACGCCAGAGCTGTGCCGAGACCAGTCAAGGCTCCGCTTGCTCCAACAGCCGTCCTTTCGGCATTGTTATTTGCTCCCCGTCTTCTCCTGGCATTGAAAATGTGGCAAAGGCAAGCGGTGATTGCACTCCCGAGGGACAGTACAATGAATCGTAGCGGCGATACACTGAGTAAATAAAACGACTCGACATAAGTTTTGTATGTTGACATGTTGACGAAGAGGTGTAAAGGCTGGATGTGACTAAAGGCCGAGGTAAAGAAGGTGAGGAGTCGGGGGTTACTTGAGCTGAGCATGAAGTATTTGTGAAGAAATGCTGAAAGACGCCTGCGGTCTATCGGGAGCGAAGAGAAAATTGGATGGAGCGCGGCTAACCAGGCGAGATGGATGGCGATATTGCTCACGGTAACTCCGTAGAAGAGGGCAGTCCAGAGCGGTCCAATATTGCCGGGTGCGAATCTTGCGGGATATCCAAATACTGAGAGTGATGCCATATTGATACTTTCTCCTATGAAGACCAGTGGGTACTGGAAAGAAGAGGCGACGCTTAGACGCGGAAACCGTGAAGTGGCGCCGTTGGGTATGAACAAGAGGAGACCCAATGTCTTGGATTAGCTCTCAGAGGTTTTTTGGTTTTGTACGAGCTGGACTGGTCTTGATATCTCAAATACGAACTTCAATCTCGAGTTTCGTATGAAGGCGATTGGGGAGAAAGTATGTGTAGATTGCACAGAGTCTAGATGGTGTGACGTTGTCGCTCTCTGTCGAGGTAGATTCTGAAGTTCGCAGTGCTCCGTTCGAGAAAGGAGCCGAAGTCGTCGTTGGACGGAAGGTGCGTGTTGAAGAAGGGTTGGTCCGTGCCTAAGGTACGTATCGTCTGACAGTACTGGTCTTGTGCTCGGCACTGTCCTTCTATCCTCAAGAATCCAATTATTTATTGTTCTTACCAACAACTCCTCGGAGTTCATGCACGGTTTCACTTCAGATAACTCGGATACCTTGGATGCACCACTAGACTCTACCTCTATATATGCTGCTTATATGCTCTCGCCCACTTTCTCTGGTGTAGAGATCTCTGGTTGCTTGCCGACTTGACCAGAGCCTTCCCCCTTCTCGAGATCCACCATCTCAACTTCGTCAGGCTGACCACCTACAGCCTCAATTTGCCCAGCGCCGCTTTCCAACAGCTGGCTTCCGGCGCTCTCACTGCGCACGTTACCAGAACTCCGTGACCACCTGTCTAAAACGCTTTTTTTATTGGAAGTTGCCGTGGACGTCATCGTATTCCTCTTGCTTGCGGCACCTGTGCTGTCCAATTGGCTGCGCATTCCGAGCCTCAACGTTACATGTCGGAGCAGAGGTTGCAGGGCGGGGAAACAGCCGACCCAGAGACCAACATGGAGCTCAGCGTCGGTCCATACAGCTACAGTGAGCATCTTGTACGTCCTGGACTGTGTCAATATGCTGAAATTGCTAGTCTGAGCCGCGCCTCATTCGCCATAAGAAGTACTTACGTGTTTACACCGAAGTCCGTCGTGACGATAATGGAAAATCGAACGATCCCAGTAACGACAGCAAAGATTCCCAGAGAAAAAACCAGCAAGATCTGTATGGCCTTGACGCCCATTTTGACGTAATTCGTCACGACACATAGCGGAAGGACGACCAGCATACAATCAACAAAGATGCAGATAATGGCATGGCCCAGCATCATCGATCGTTCTTCGCGTTTGTCTCTACATTGGCGCCATGTGCTGGAATAATTGAATACATCACTGGAGTAACGAGTCAGCTAGCTATCGCTACGTCCCTGGGAGGGTTCCATCTTACGGTATCTGCGAGCATTCCGTCAAGACGAAGAAGAACCCCGACAGACTGACTATGATTACAATAGCATCAAGGGCGTATATGCTCCAGGTATATATCTCTGGCAACAAACATCAGCGTCTTGTCTTAAAGTGACTGGATTAATCATACTATTCTTGCTTAAGCGTGGAAGAAACGCTAATATGGACAGGCGTACTGCACCAGAAGCGAGGAAGTAGACCAACTCCATGATGGAAAGCCTCTATTCGCAGCACGTTAGCTATGTGGAGGATCTTAAGTATGCAAGTCAGCTGACCTTAAAGAACTGAAGCAGCGTCGGCCGAGGAACATCTTCGATCTGAGCCCCGGTGCCATAGTTGGTCGTGTCCATTTCAAGTGCCGAGAGTGTGACACACAAGGCCTGGTTCTTGTGTTAGTCCATGCAACTTGCACGGCAAAGCGGCTTAACCTACCCAAGCTACTATTGCAAGGAAATCATCCCAGCCTAGAGCTTTTACTATGATCTTCCGTGTGAGCAGACGGAGAGAGACCAGCAATGTCGAAACAATAATCAAAGCTAGGTTCAGGTCGAATACATGGTGTCCACCCGAGTTAGGGTGGTACCGCAAGGACTGTCCAACATCGACCATTTCAACTCGTTAAGACAATGTCGTTGGCTTTGAGTGCTTCGAAAGCTTCGAGATTCTTGCCATTCATGGAAGAGATCAAGACCATGTGCCGATTATCCGAGGCGGCCGATGGTTATAATGGAGTCATGGACCACATTCGCCAGCGTTGAACCTATACCAGACGCGTGGGCTACGGAAACATCTACGTACGAGAAGGCACTTGACGCCCAAGACACGCGCCAAGCCCCGTTTCGAACAATTTGTGCCATTTCCTGACGTCTTGAGTGCCTGTGCAATCAGACACTGGAGTCTACCAAATATGAGAGGTCTCTGGAGGCGAAACCCAGCCAGGCTGAGGTAGATGCGTCGATGGGCTAGAACAGCCGCCGGAATTGCTCATCGCCGCTACATCTAGAGTTTACGCCTCAAATACCGGTCTCAGAAGCTACTTCTTCGGCCGGAAAGGCGCGGGGTGGCCAGGACAGCTCACGACATGCTGAACAATCTGTTAAAAGCGACTTGAGCAAGGGCTGGAAGCTCGTAGAAACGACAGTTATTGGTGCCTTATGTCTGGGGGTTTTCTTTTTTCTTCGATGATGGAATCTTGAGCAAGAACTGTCATTCTATCATCAGAGGAATTTTCAGCTCTGTCGTTGTCGTCACGCAGATCACATTGCACAGGATTGAGAGGCACCATCCATGTTCATATTCCGTTCCCGGATGCTTTTCCCTTTCTTCTTTCCTTCGATTTACTCTCTCATCAAGAAGACGAGTTCCAGAACACCTGTGTAACGGCTGTGTTTCTTCAGCGATGACTTTGTATGATGCTTCTCGAAAGCTTGGCCTGGACCCCGAGCTTGACTTGACCTGACGAAAGCGTCCAGATCCAAACCTAAATAGTAGCCTTTAAGATTTAAAGCATTGACCTTCGGCTATAACCGAGCAGTTCTCATCGAGGAAATGGTCTTTACTTTCGCAGCGCGTTGAATGTTCACTGCCCACACATCGATCGGGCTGTGCTTACTCATGCCCAAAACGACACATACATTCCTCGCCATTGCCGCGTCCAGGCCTCCCTTCAAAGACACTTACGATTGATTCAATTTAGCATGCCACTGAACAAGACCGGCGCCCTCTCATCAATAAACTTGGCAGGAAACAGTAGTTCTTAGTAAGTCTTTCATCAATGGAACCTCGGAGCACATAAGTAAGCAGGGGACCCTGTCTACGATCCAGACGAGTTCGGCACTCAGATGTGAGGCAACTTGATCAATACTTCCCTCATTGTTCTTACAATTCGATCTTCTTCTCGGTTGGTCTTGGCATACAACGCCTTTGACGAACGCGGCAATCGCTGATCCATGCCAACACAAACGAGCGGCAGCAGTCTTGGCCCAATTCCACACCCTGCGTCACTTGTTCCGCCGGCTCGCGGAGAGAGGGGGCCAAGGGACTTTGAGAATCTCAAATCGAACGATTTACTTCGTCGCCTGAATTCGACGAGTCGATCAGGTATCTGGGTACTTGCCCCGAATTTTGGAGGTAAGAGCTGGGAGATATTCTTTCTTTATTCACTTTCAGCTTACCCCGAGCCAAGGGTCCTACGTCAATCTCATCCCTTGCAACACCCTCAGCTCTGCCAACCAAGCTCTCCAACACTGCACGTCAATATTTTTCCCCCTTCTTTGGAATAAAGTAAAACGAATGCTTTAATTCAAAGCTCGGAGTTTGGGTATTCCAAAGTAAGCTCCGACCATATTGGAGTCCAAGAAGAAGAACAATCAAAAGGAGAAGATCGCCCACCGGCACAGTCCGTGGCATACCAGACTAGCAAATCGCCGTTTTCGTCAGAACACCAAGCAAAGAATCTCACCAGCCTACGTACAAGCCAAACAATACCAGAGAGCAAACCTCCCTTCCTAATGAGTACCTCGTCCCAATCCGACAGCATCGCCCCTGCCGCCGACTCCGCCGCCCAAACCGTCAACACCCTCCTCCTCCGCACCTATGCCCTGCTGCAAACGCCTCTGTCCATCCTGAAGCTTCACCAGGCTCTCAACGCTGCGGACCAGGCCCTCGCCATAGCGGCGCACTTGCACCGCTTCGATCTCGAGCCCCGCGCGTACTTGTACCGCGGCCACGTCCTGAGTGCCTGGGGCCGCTGGCGCGAGGCTCATGCCGCCTACGTCCGGGCTGCCAGCGCGAGGGGGGTCGGGTTCGCGGGGACGAACATCCGGGGCTTGACAAGAGGTTGTCTGGCGATGATTGAGTTCGAGAACATGAGGCGCCAGAACATGAGGCGCGCTCTGGAGATTGGAGACCAAGCAAAGGACGGGTTGAAGATGGTTCGATTTAGGGACGAGGAGAGTCTGGTTCTCAAGGCCTTTTACGATTATGATGATGACGATGATACTAATGACGACATTGACGACGATGATGAGACGCACTCTGAAGCGAGTCACAGTGGGCTCTATCTTATTTTGAACGGCAGCGGAGAAGTTGTCGGTAGCCGGGAGAGTCTGCCTGACTTGAGAAGTGTACGTGGTAGATCTGTCACCAGATCGCTGACATTGTGAGTGTAAGGGGCGGGATAACGATGGTAATTACGAGTACAATAGCAACAATTTCAAAGCGGAAACGTTTTTGATGAGCGCCGCTAACTGAGAAACTCATATGATCCATCAGAAAGCTCTAACAATAAGTTGTTTGCCCGATCTTTCCCTTTTTGGCTGCCTTTGTGAATTCCAACCATTGAGTCCTTTGATGGCATTATCAATGTCGCGACCTGTTCCAGTTCAAAGCAAGCATGGACACCAAAGTCTTTGTGTTCTGCGACTCCCTTGTATCATCCTCGTAATATCTTACATCAAGCATCCAAATGATGCCACGATGGAGTCTCTAGAAGACACGAGAAGATCCAACGCCACCCAAAGTTGGGCCAAAGATTGATAACTTGAGGAGATCCCTTAGAGCTAAAATGGTTGAGAATATTTGATGCTCATCTTTCGTTCAACCTAGGTTCTGCTCGAGCCCTCGAGTGTGACTTCATCGAACTGCGTACTTTTTGACCGATAGAGATTTCAAGCGTCATGTCGGAGAAAGGGAAGCCAGCGTCGCCGATGCCCAGTGATTCACAGAAAAGTGGAAATGATGGCACGACAACTTCCTCCTTGATAATCGCCACACCAGCTCAAGATATCTCTGCTGACGCTGTTCGAAAAAGATCGCAAGTGACAGCACAGACGTCCGCTTCCGATGAAGTCTCCCCAGCGTCGGCATCGAGGCACTCAACGACCTCATCGCCAGATCAGAGCCAGATTTCATCTTCTCAACAGAGGCAAAAGTCATCGGACGAGGAAGAAGTCGGGCCCGGAGGAACGGGGTCTTCTAGCGAGACAGATACCAAACCTAGACTTGGCTCAGGTGCCCTCGGTTGCCTACTATCCGCACTCGATGACGATATCGCGTCACCCGCCCAGGAGAAGCCACCTGAGACCCCAAAGGATGAGAGTCGTCAGACGCGCAATACATCACTGGCTCCAATTGTTCCCAATCCAGATATTGTCAGCCCCCTCGACCTCACGTCGTCTGCTCCTCGTGCACAGTTCCAACCGTCGACGTCAACACCAATAGCCTCACGACCACCCTCGAAGAAGTCCGAATCGGTGGACGAAGGCTCTAAAGACGATGGGTCTGGCCCCAATCGTAAAGTTAGCGAGGAAACAGACGCTGCCGCGGCCGATTCTGGTCGCTTTCACCAGCATCCCAGTCCTAAGACTGCACTCGGAGCAGTCTCTAATCGTCCCTTATACTCTTTGTCGATCGAAGAAGCATTGGACTCGCAGTCGATGAGTGCCGTGCTTGGGAGAGCAAACAAACCCTCCCCTCAAGGTCCTCTTTCGACAGAGACTGGCTCGAGGAACAACGTGACTGGAAATAGCAAGGGCGACGATGAAGGCGACGATGACTCTTATATCCTACCATCGGCAGCCTTGCAGGAAGCAAAGACACTAGTTTCGGGGTCTGCAAACTCAGAATCACCTTCACCTGCACCTGTGAGACCTCTGACACCGAGAGGGCTAGTGGCAGCGCGTGAGAGGGCAAAGAGAGAAAAAGAGCGCAACGGCACTCAACAGGTGACGGACGAGAGACCGCCGTATCCTGAGGATCCCATGGAATTCCCAGCTCCGAGACGTTGCCGACCAGAGTCTTCCCAAACGGTCACGTCTCCTGGGGACAGCCATGCTCGAAACCGAGACGTGTCACCTGTATCACCAATCATACATACTCCCACGCCAACTAGACCGGGAGACATACCAGGTTTCATGCGATCCAACGAGCCGGTCTCGCCCTCCACTCCCATTCAGAACCAACGACAGCATGGCTCCCGGTCCTCTTCAACAGACACCATAGTCCAGCCGCCACCCCCGGTCCATAACCCTCAACGCCGCCGTCTGCTCCCCGCCGGTCTAGGCGCATACAACAACGAGCCAGACCGCTCCGGCGCGGGCTTCACCCTCCGCCGCGTCAAAGTCCCGCCCCCGGGCGCCCCGACCCGCACACACATCTTCATCCGCCCGCAACCCCTCCCCGGCGGCGAAGAGGAGCGCAGGAGGATCATCCAAGTCTGGAACGACACCTTCGCGACGATGCCCCCCGAGTTCCAGACGATGCTCTCGAGCCGCCTGCGGTACCCGCTCTACACCCGCGACGTAGCGGCCCGGCTCCGCAAGGAAGAGTTTGAGAAGGCGACTGGGGAGAGCATGTCCTCGGACGACTACTACGCCCTCTTCGACCTCGAGACGTCCAACGACGGCATGATTTCCGCGCTGCTGGAGTGGATGCAGGGGCGGACGTGGGTCAAGGTCCCGTTTGTGAACCGCATCATCCACCAGCTCTGCCGGCTGATGTATACCTCTGCGCAGGAGGAGGCGCGGCTGCGGCTGACGTATCGGCAGGACATGGATGCCGTGATGGAGAAGCTTGACGAGGTGGAGGTGAAGTGCGCGGCGGAGAGGATGCAGATGGCCTGGGAGCAGCTGGACGGGTCTTTGAGGAGGCAGCACAAGTTCATCCAGCAGACTCTCACGCGTAATGGCGATCACTGGGGTCACATACCGGGCGTGGTGGTGATGAGTGGGTGCTCCAGGGATGCAAGACGTTGGGAGACGTTCCTTGAGACGGCGCGCGTGCTGGCCCTCGATCACCGTAACACCGAGGAGATCATTGAGAACAGAATCAACGATAGTGGGGAGATTCTACAACGGGACCTCGAACAGCTGAACGGCGTCCTTAGAGACATGGCGAAGAACAGCAGGGAAGTGAACGAGTATGTCGGGGCCAGACATCAAGGAGACCAGGTGCAGCGGATGTTCCAGATCGACAACAAGGACCTGGTCGATTCTCTCAGGATCCTCGATGACCAGGTCAAGCGTAATAACGACGAGCGTAGGTCTGCCGTCATGGCCTTTACCAAGATCGCGACGCAGCGGTTGGAGGTGCGCCAGAGGTATGCTAGCAGCCTGGACTACGCTGCGCAGCACGCTCGCGAATCGACTACGCTCGCACCGGGTTTCCAGCCGCAGCCTCCGACTGGGATCTTCGGCAATCATCCGCTGCGTTCAGCTCCCAACGAAATGAGACTCAGCGTTCCCGTGGCGAGCATCCCATCAGAGGCGCCAGCATTCGACACCACCTCACAGCAAGAAACCCCGCCTCCCCGTGATGGGGTCAGATTCGTCTTGAGTCCTAGAGGCAGCCAGGTCGTAGAGTTCATGGACACGACGGTAGCTCCTGAGCCAAGCCCTGTCTTCACAGATCCCTTTACCAAAACCTGGGAAAACCTCGATCCGGCCGCGGCAAGGCCAGAGTGCCTGCGGTGTCCCACGCTGGAGCGGGAGATCAGCGCCAGACTTGCGGAAATCAAGGACTATTGCCGCATATTAAAGTACAGATTGGACGAGAAATTGAAGCTCGAGAGCGCGCTCGAAGCCGTGAGTGAGCGCAAGATCAGAGAAGCGATGGAAGCCCTTCACAACTACAAGATGCTTCTGGATCGTCCAGAGGTGCCCGAGTCACTGCAGTGCATTGTGGACCTGTTGGAGATGCATGGCAAGCGAGTATTCGACCAGGTCGGCTTGCTGAATATGTCCCTTCAGCTGGGGCAAGCTGGCGATTCGACGGACAAGATGCTAGCAGAAACGAGGACGACGATTAGGTCTGTTAAACGACTAGCTGACGCCATCCTCGAGCTTAAATCCCAGATGGCACTATACCTCGAGAAACCCTTTCCAAAGACAGGCAATCAGTCTGGCTCAGGCGAGAAAGAGGCCCCAGAGAATGAAAAACAAACTCGCTTAATAAAGTCGCTGCAACGACAAGTCCAAGAGTTATCAGAACGGACCAAGCGTACTCTAGAACAGCAGGCAACAGAGAAGCTTGAGCTAGCGCGCAGGGTAGAGTCGTGCATGAAGGAGGAGAGAGATCGCCTCAAAGAACAAGTTCGCACTTTCCAGAGCAAGCTTGAAGATATGCAGACCGAAGCCCAAGAGCGAGATTCGAATGCGGAGCAGACCGTATCGGATAGACTCAGAGAACTCAACAGAGAGCGAGAGACGCAAGAGACGGAACTTCGCAATCTCGAAGCCCAGAACAACGCTTTGGAGGAGCAACGTCAAAAGACCACAGATAAGCTCGCGGCTTTAGAGACGGCCAAGCAAGAGAGCGAAAACGAACTGGCAAAACTTGCACGACAAACCCAGGAGCTTCAGATCAAGCTTCAAGCTAAGAGCGAAGCGTTGAAGTGGACATCATACATGACTGTTCCCAGGGCTGTGGATGACGCCGGCTCTGATGCTCAACACAGTGACAGAGCTTCTCAGCTGCGGACAGAGCTGATGTCTGCGCTAAGCAAGGCACGGTCAGAATCATATCGCATATTTGGAGACCAACAAACGAGGAAGACTCTGCCAGATATCATACAGAATGTCCTGTGGCCTGACACCAAAGCAAAGGAGGGCATCAACGCTGATGTACCCAACTTCTGGAGACTAGCGGATTTCGTGAGAAGGAGAAAGGAAATCATAGCAGCACTCGGACAGAGGGATTCGCACAGCTTGCAGAGAGCATTCAACTTGCTTGAAGTGCTCCACGAGTGGAATAGCAACTTGGGTGCTTGGCAGACAGAAGCCCAAACAGCAGAGGTTTGGCGGTCCATCAACCTCCTCAGATCGTATGCCAATCTTGAGCTTGGAAAGATCGAAGGGCTCGAAGCTAATGCCTCAGAGAGGCGCAAGATCGCCGGGGCATTATTCGAGCAAGCGACGGCTTCTGAAGACGCAGGAGAGATCAAGAAGCCATGGAGTTCCTTGCAGAACAGTCTGGAGGTACAGCTAAACGAGAAAGCTGACGACGCTCCCGCTTGCGACTGCAAGTTTAAACCTCGCCTCTGTCCAAAGCACCAGACTGGTGGTGGACTCATGTTCCATAACTTTATGGAGTCAGATGGTTCGAGGCCGGCGGAGATAGAGTTGACGCAGGAGGCGTCCGAGGTGCTTCAGCGATTTGGAGAGACGTTCAAGGTATCGTCGCCAGTGTAGGCTCGCGCGACAGCGGAGGTACCCGGTAAAGAGATTGCGTATGCTTCGACTAGAGGGAGTTCTGCAAGAGGATGGTGATCTGCAAAGCGGTTTTGATGTCGGATTGGCCCCAGAAAGGAGCAAATGAGAGTGCATACCGGATGCTTGTTTGTTTTTCGCCATCGATTTGCAATCTAGAAAGACCCGGCTGCTATCGCCGCGTGGTGTTAGTCCCTTGTAACGATGTTGAGATCCTGTTTCTAGAGTAAGAGTCGATCGGTGAGTGGCGTTTGTCTCTGTCTCTGTCTCTGTCTCTGCATCCGCGCGGCCAGCTGATTCATGTGTTTCCCCGTTGACCAGGGCAGCGAAGTATGTTGATGAAGGCGGCCTTGAGTAAACGTTGGAATCTGCCAATGACAAATGCGGAAGTCTGTGTCGTCCAGGTTGACGTCGGTAGTGGTGGGCAGGCGAGTGAAGTCAAATTGATGTCGAGAAAGCGGATGGTGGGGCCGGGAGGAGGAAGACTGGGGCTCGAGATTGCCAGCAGTTACTGAGATACTACCATCGAAGCCTTGGCATTGCACTGAGGGATGTACCTTGCTATCTACTTCTCCAATATCCTTTCTACGTCTAGCGTAGTTACCCGCGCGGGTGGATTGTTCACCACACCATTGCATTCCTCTCTTCCTTTCTCTTCCACGGGCTCCCTCTTCGTGAACTGATACCAACGCAACTACGCCCTGCTGCCAATAGGTTCCAACATGACTCTTCCTCCCGACTCAGTCTTTTGCGCCTCTCCCGCTTGTATATTCAAATCATAGGTCAACTCAATCCGATCCACCCTCAGCAATACCAGGCCAGACAGATCTGGATCTTGTCTCGGGAACGGCATGTACACGAGCCTCAACCTGCGTCGCCAGTGCGCACGTCAACTGTCTCAGCCCAAACGTGGACCTGGAATGGTCAAGGGGTGTGGCTTTCTCATCACTCAAAGATGATGTGAGTGGCACGCAGAGACAGGCACGATCTAGGCACATCATGCTTAGCTGCATCTGTTGTGATGGAGGCACCTTTGGCTTCTGGCACCCAACGAAAACGACTGCATTTTGGCGTGCTTCAGAACCTGCCGCTTCCCATCGTCTCCGCACTTTCACCTCACATCACGCCCGAGAACACGTGGATGAGCAACTCTGTACTCTAGAGAACGAGTGAATTGTTCCGCAAAGTGACAGCTCGAGAAGCAACGGAAGCACCAGATCCATGACGCCCAACAAAGTTAACGGTAATCTGCCAGCCCGCTAGACGGAATTGCATCGTTCCGGATCCGGCGAATCGCTTGCCCTCCGGTATGGTACGCGTGGATTTGCAAGGCAGCGGCTGCTTTCACCAAGACATTTGTCTTTTGAAGATGAATCAGACCTCTACCAAGGCTACCAGACTATCGGAGTCAGACGCACGAGCGAGAGAAACGGGCAAGTCGTTACGCGACAAAAGTCTGGTACACGCGATGCTACGCAAATGAGCACGATACAACGGCATCCTGGCTTCGGAGCAGCTATTTGCCCGCCCACTCTAGCTAGACGGCTTGGGCAGTGTCACCGACCGAAAGCCTACCTCATGCCATTCGCCGCCGCCTTTTACAACAGATTGATTAGATTATTCGACCTGGCTCCATCTCATTGGACACCCTCACCGGCTGACTTTGACATACATCCACGCTGTCGCTTCGAGTTGTATGTATGAAGGCAGTCTTTGCCCTTCTGACGCAGCGCGCGCGGCTGCTTCCGGCGATGGCGGCAACGAGCACCAGCCAGCGGTGCAAATGTGACGAGTCTAAGCTGGCTGGAAGCACACTTTGGCCAGCCGCGTCGCGTCACATCACACTGAGAGTTCTTGACGGACTGTCAAACTACGGATTGAAGTGGACAACGACGAGTGTAGTCCAGCACTGGCCAGGCCAGGTCCACGCCACTCACTTCATGTCCCGTCCTCCCGCGCTCTCCCGTCAGGCCCTGGCACCTCTAGTTCATCCCGTCTCCGGAGGCGGCGTGTAAGTCGAGGAAACCCCCACTGGAACGGTGCCGTTTCCAAGCGAAAACACGAGGCCTGTCAAGCAAGCCCTTGACGACTTACCCTCTCGGGAATTAGACGCGGGTGGACTATGGCGAAGATCACGACTAACGGATCACGGCCTAATGCAGCAAGGTCAAGGGGGGCCAGGGTCACCCTTTTAGCAGGTGACTTTGAGGAGGTCGACAAGATTTGCTGCTGACAAGACATTCCAAGGATCTCTCTCACAAGGGATTTTTGGGCTCCAAGTTGTACCCGAAAAACACGGCCCGTACGAGGGCCTTTGCAATAATGTTCCTATCCCATCTAGGCAAGTCAATCTATCTGCAAGATGCAGATAGGCACGTTGATACCAGAGCTCCACACTGGATGCTACTATCTGGATGCATTTTGGAGCCGGAAGCCTGGCTTTCACTCAGCCCTCAGCCCTCGGCCATGACAGTATCTGGCTTGTGAGGCGGAATCTGTCTCTCCTTGGCGTTGTCTCGTTTCTTTTTGCGGTTTGGCTCGATTCACCCAAATTGTGTCAACAACCCCCGTGCTTCCGTCTTTGGCTGTGTGCTGTGTAGCGAGGCCCCGTCCGAGTCCTGGCGGCGGTTCACGGCATGCTGCAGACAACGGTGGGGTCGAGGGGCTGTCCATCATAGGCGTGACGGGCCACTCTACTTTAACCTCAACGAACTTTGCTTTCCTTGCCATAGTATGTACCCTACACAAAAGTACCTCGTCTATGGACCATGGTCTTTTCCATCGCAACGCAAAAGAAATGTAGAGTGCTTTGTCAAGCTGACCAAACCAAAACAGCTAGTCCAGGCTCTATGGAGCTAGACCATACGGCCCTCTCTGTTTCTCAAATTCTCAAATCCTCGTAGGGGAATCCATCTTAATCTAGGTCCACGATCCGTGAGACCTTCCCTGGCAAACAATTTCCCCCGTCTTTTCTTCTCGCCTCCCTTCCCGCTTGCCGCTGTCCAAGCTCCCTTCCCGCCCTGCTGCTGCGCCTGCTCCAGCTGCGGAGAACAAGATGGCGTGAAAGTTACACCGGCTACCGGCATCGAAAAGGACCCTCATCGAAGATGGGGTTGGCTATCTCGCCAATTGGACATTGGCATGGAGCGGCGATATGTGTCCACGTACGGTGTTTGAGCACTTTTACTCAGCGGCCGTACGACGCAGCTATCCAGGAACGGCTCGAGGCTCTCCACATGAACCAAGGCTTGTTATTCTTTTGCTTGGCATCTTCGAGTCTCGAGGCGGGACGAGAGAGATGTACCTACCCTACCGTGTGAGAGGGGAAAGTCCCTGTTTTTCTTCTTGTCGAGACCAGGGACTTCAACGGATCGACTTATCTGGGGAACGTGGCGCTTGTCTCACATGGATGTTTATGGAGCAGGGCAATCGGTCCCTGGTATGCACAGGTCTTTGGGACCGCCGTTGTGTAAGTGCGTTGTAAGCAAAGCAACATGAGAGGGCCAACAAATTGAGGGAGGGTGCCATGTGAAGCGGGTGGCCGGCCGCGAAGGGAAGGTCTAGACTGAATACACAATCCGACGGCTATCATTGCAACATTTTCATCGGGGCAACCTTGGGCTGGTTGCTCTCGAGTCTGACGGTGATACCCTCCCTCTTCTTTCTTATCTGGACGTTTGCCCTGCTATCTGAAGTCCAGCTGCGATCAGGAAAGGAGGGGATGATCAGGAAAAAAAAAAAAATAAGGGTGAGTGGGAGAAAAAGCCACGCGGGTTAAGCCACGGGAACTACGTCGGTAGACCGCATTCATCCAAGGACAGCGTGTAAGTGGGGGCATGCAGACGACTTGTGTAAGTTCACGTATGAGTTACATAGAGTGGCAGGATTCGACGCCTTTTTTCAGAGTTTTTCAACGCCCCTCTTCATCATCAGATACATCTCAAAAGTACTGGATGAAGGAAGAGATAGGAACCGGTAGGGAAGTATAGGAAAAAAGCAAGGAAGGTACGCTCTAGGGAAAGAACCAGGTAGCAGCAACTCCTTCCTAGACAGATCCGCTCTGCCAAACCTTACAGTCTCGTAATATTCAGGGTTCTCGTTATTATTCTTCTTTCTTTCTACCTTACCTTACCTTACCTTGAAATAAGATCGATCCTAAGCCACAAGGGTGGGATGAATCTAAAATCTTAAGGAAGGCACGACCTGGACTGTGTACCTTCCCTACCTACCCAATCTACCCGGGCCAACCTCCACTCCCACCACTCCCACCTGGCCCGTCCTTCACACATATTCACCTCACCTCAGTATTATCTCCGGTACACAACGCTTCACTTTATTCTTCCTCACCCTCTCCCGCTCCCGCTTGCCGCAAAGGGGGGTCTTCCAGGTTTTTTCTACTTCACACACACCTCCCACTGCCGCGTCCCGAGTAAGTATCCTCCCTCTTCATCACAATACTCTGAGACCCTCCGCGCCATTCTTATCAACGAGTCTTCTTTCACACCCTCGTCAACACATCATAACAATACCTTCTTGTTATAAACTTGGCACATTCCCGCTTCTCATCCGTCCTTTCGGTTCACTTCAACTCACGACGACAACCTTGCCCACCGCGCTAATCCTCCATCCCTTCTCCAGACTGCGAATAGCCTCAACTTGCTCACTCATCCGCACGACTACGCGCAAAAATGGCTGGAGGAGCTAGTGGCCCCTCAGCTTACCCTTTGCTCTTCGCAAAGCGGACTAAGCTGAACCAGGAGGCGACGACGTACTTCGCCATCGCCCTGGCTTCTATCATGGGCCTCTTCATTGTCTTCCATCTGGGTCGTCGTGGTGCTTCAAAGGCCGGTCTTGGTACGAAGCTGTCTGGTCTGGCAAAGCCATTCCTCTTTGTGTCTCGGTAAGACTCGAGAAAAAATCAGCTTGTACTTTATCGCACAAAATTACTGACCACCACATAGATCCATCCGAAGAGTCACCGTCTACAAGTTCCCTGCTCTGCCATCCACCGGCCACTTCGTTGTAGCTCTTAGCTACCTCGTAATCAACATCGCCCTGCTATTCACTCACATTGACGCCTCCGCTCTTCCCTATCTCACAGTCATCGCGGCTCGCGCAGGATGGTAAGTTTTAAACATTCAAACGCCACTACCATCACTAGAACCACCGGAAACTGATTCTTTACAGGCTGTCCATCGCCAACATCGCTTTCGTGGTCTTCCTCAGCCTGAAGAACACTCCTCTCGGCTTCCTCACCGCTTGGTCTTACGAGAGGCTCAATGTCTTGCACCAAGTTGCCGGCTACATCACCATGGTTCTCATCATTGTCCACGGTGCCACATACTCCGCCTACTTCATCGAGGCTGGTAACATGGCACGCCTTCGTGTTGCCGAAGAAATCTACGGCATCGCCTCCGGGTTCACCTTCCTTTCTCTTGTGCTCGCCGGAGCCATCGTGCGATTGTGGTACTATGAGCTCTTCTACATTCTTCACGTGTCTTTCTTCGCAATTTCGATGGTTCTCGTCGGCCTTCACCAGCCCGAACTTAGCAAGAAGATCATCATCATTACGGCTGTTGCTGCTGGTATCTGGGTTGCGGATCGCGTTGTGAGATTCATTCGCGTCGTGCTCTACAGCTTCAACAACAACGCAACCGTCTACCCGCTCCCCCACGGTGGCACTCGCATCATCCTCAAGAAGGCACCCATTGGCGCAAGCTCTGGAGAACACTGCTTCCTATGGGTTCCCAAGATCCGCGCTCTGGAGATGCACCCTTTCACCATTGCCGCCATGAACCCTCTGGAGTTTGTCATCAACTCGTACGATGGCTTCACCCGCGAGCTCCATGAATACGCAGTCCAGAACCCCGGTGCAACCCTCAAGGCTTCTGTTGAGGGCTCCTATGGAACGTTCCCTAACCCTTCCGAGTACAACAAGATCGTCCTCGTCGCTGGAGGTAGCGGAGCCAGCTTCACTGTTGGCACGGTTCTCAACTTGCTCAAGAAGGCTGCGCAGGGATCTATGCCGAGTGTCACTTTTGTCTGGATGGTCAAGGATCCCGGTAAGTACATTTCACGATTAACTTTGTCTCCCAAACTCCCAAACTAATCGGATCTCTCAGCTCGTCTCGAGTGGTTCGCCGGTCACCTCTCCACGATTCGTCAGGCCCTCGGTGCCAACATCCAACTCTACGTCACCCGCGCGCCTGGAAGTCAGGGCTCCTCATCCCAGACTCCCGGCTCTTCCAAGGAGGATCGATCCCGCTCGGGCACCATCTCGTCTGAGGCGTCGACACCCTTCACCCCTTCATCTGAAAAGTTCGAGACCACCAACGGCGTTCCTCAGCAGCCTCCTCGTATCAACACTCGCACCGTATCCGACCCCGAGAAGTCCGGCTTTGAGTCTGATGTCACCTCGCCTTCGTCTCCCACCATCCAGCAAGACAGAGCTTTGAACAGCTTGGGCGGTATCCCTGTTCACTACGGACGCCCCGACGTCGCCAAGATCATCCAGAATGCTATTGATGAGACGCCCTCTAGCGAGCGAGTTCTCGTCATGGGCTGTGGTCCTGAGAGCCTGATGACGCAGGTACGCAATACGACCGCTGGGTGCATCCGCACATCTGGTCCGGCTGTGGAGCTTCACTGCGAGCAGTTTGGCTGGTAATTCGTGACAGCCGTCCGTGAGCGATGCATCCTGAGTTATATGCGAGTGGTTCGGCATGGCTTCATTGTCGTCAATATCCTTACTTGCTTATATCACTGGCGTCACTCCACGAAGTTCTTCGTGTGCATACCTTGATCTCCTTTGGTCTCTTTGTATGGTGTTGGAGTATATACGGGTACAGGAACGGCCTTCTGGTTTTGCTTTTCTTTTTGCTTTTATGCGGCAGCAGCTTGGCAACAAAAAGAACAGAGGATATAGGGTTCAAATCCTTTCTTAGTGTTTGGTCAAAGAGATATCGTTCTGCTAGGTGGCTGCCGCTCGGCCATTGTCGTCGCGCGCGCGTTCATACCCTTTACAGAAGCTTGGCCTCGGTGGCCACACTGTAGCTTTTGATGATTCATAGAACAATGGACAAATGGGAAACCCAAATCTTCTACTCAATTCCTATGTGATAACATCCTCTCATGCATGTCATGTAGCTTACCCCTATTGGTTTCAGCGTGGATTTTGGACCTATGGAAAAATCAACGTTTGGCAGAGTGGTCTGAACATTTGCAAACTCTCAAGACAAAACTGGTAAGCTCTTCGAAAGATTTGGCAGCCGATGAGGTTGGGGTTTTCCAACGGTCGTCTGATGTCCGGATCGTGATACCCCGCCAAGAGCTCCTGCTTTATCCTACTTTCCCCCGGAGCATCAACGACTGTGTCGGACTTTAGATCAGAGCCCTGTTGGCCGTGGAAAGACAAGATACTCGCCGAAGGTCTAGTATCGCCGAATCGCTTTGGCGTAATAAAGCTATTGAACCAAGCAACATGAGGTCGTCGAGTTCAGGTTGAGTAATCGATCGATGAGCCATAACAACCCAGAGATCATTTAGAATGCGCACCCTGCGCAAGTAGCCAAGTCAAGGGTCTCACAATCCCGGTCATCCTTCTCCAGTGGCTACAACATAGGCGAAGAACCTCCGCTTACTTAAGCCGCGAGAGACGATGAGCAGCGACAGCGTAAAAGAGAGGGTGTCGAGACGGAGGGAGGTTAGGGGAGGACGTGAACTCGAAACCCACCAGAACCAGACAACTCGAGCCGGCCCGAGACGAAAACGCTTCCAAGTTTGTCACAATTGCTTCCACCAGAAACGGGAACACGCCAACCAAGGACTCACTCACAAAGGTAACTAACTCACCGTGATGCTGGATAACAAATACTAATGTCGCAATGACACTGCCGACGCAGCCGCCGCCTTACATGGTACACCCACCGCGGAATCCCATACATCTCATCTCCAGGCCCGGCCGGAATTGAGCATGACCAAGAAAAACGGAGCATCGCTTCCCGTAACTCTATTCCGGCTCCCCGATGAAACGACTAAATCACGGTCCCCCCTTCATACACACCGACTCCCGCTGACTACTTCGAGAAAGCGGGCAATGAGCCTCCGCGATGGAAATGCCAGAGGGAGAAGAAAGTTACGATGACCTGGTTTGGGTGATTTCTGTAGTAAGGTACACCCGTTTTGGGAATCCTCGTCGGGGAGGTTGGCAATTTGGTATGAGATGATATCGGGAGTCGTTGCTGGGGCTTCTGAATGTCGGCCGATTATGTCAACGTCTTCGGCTCCGAGTTGTTGGGTAAGCCTACTGCTGAGCACGCCTCTTTGGCGATACCTAGGGCACAAAAGTTGCACACCGCTCCCAGCAATCAAGCCATAGGAAGAAGGATAGGAGGGGAGAAGGGGCATCAACAAGCGTAATCGGGCCTTTACTCTCTTTGAATGTGAATAGTCTTGTATTCTTGTATTCGGTCTATCTAAGAGTCCGAGAGGAGGTATCATTGTTGAACAGATGCATATTTCTTTAGTCTTTCTTTCCGTATCCCCCAGCGCCATTTGTTGAATAAATGGAATGCCGCTTTCCTTTTTTCCCACGTCCCGCCATGAAAATCAATTCTCTCTATAAGCGCCCCCAAAATTCAAAATGTCGTACGTAAGATGGTCCCTCTACGCATTTAGAACAAGCCGTCAATCTCACCGGTCTCGGTGTCGACGTCGACGTTCAAGTAGCCAGGGGCAGTGGGCAGACCCGGGATAGTCTGGATATCTGCGGCGAGCGCGTAGCTGTAACTTTTGTCAGTAATGTAATGGTTCTCTCATGGGTAGCTCAACTTACACGTAGCCTGCACCAGCAGCCAGTCTGACGTCCCTGATGGGAACGGTGAAGCCAGTAGGAGCACCCTTCAGCTCAGGGTCGTGAGACAGGGAGTACTGCGTCTTGGCAACGCAGATGGGAAGGTTTCCGAAGCCTTGCCTGGTGTAGGTATCAACCTTCTTCTGAGCAAGCTCGCTGAACTCAACAGCAGCGGCGCCGTACATCTTCTGACCGATGGCCTCGATGCGCTGCTGAACAGTTCCCTCGAGGTCGTACAGAAGCTTGTAGTCCTTGGGCTTCTCACTGGCGGCGATGACACCCTTGCCAAGCTCAATGGCGCCCTTACCACCCTCGGCCCAGTGGTTGGACAGGATGGCATCCTCGGCACCGGCAGCGATGGACTCCTCACGGATGACAGCGATTTCAGCGTCAGTGTCCGTGACGAACTTGTTAATGGCAACAACAACGGGAATGCCGTACTGCTTAGCATTCTCGATGTGCTTCTTCAAGTTGACGCAACCAGCGCGAAGAATGTCGACATTCTCCTCCTTGTACACAGCATTGAGAGGCGCACCAGGGGAGATAGGGGGACCGCCGCCGTGAACCTTGAGAGCACGGACGGTCGCAACGATAACAACAACGTCAGGAACAAGGCCGGAGGCACGGCACTTGAGGTTGAAGAAACGCTCACCACCCATGGTGAAGTCAAAGCCAGCCTCAGTGATGGCGAAACCGGCCTTCTCAGAGTGGTCCTCATCAGGCTCGGTACCGACAATCTTCAAGGCCATCTTGTCAGCCAGAATGGAGCTGTTGCCAACGCTGATGTTGGCAAAAGGACCAGCGTGCACAAACACAGGAGTTCCCTCCAAGGTTTGCATCAGGTTGGGCTTCAGGGCGTCTCTCATAAGAGCAGTGAGCGCGCCGCCAGCGCCGATGTCGTCACAGGTGACAGGGTCACCGGCTCTGGAGCTAGCAATGACCATGTTGCCCAGACGCTTACGCATATCAGCCAGGTCAGTGCTGAGAGCAAGAATGGCCATGCACTCGCTGGCAACAGAGATGTCGAAGCCAGTCTCACGGGTCTGGCCCTTCTCAGTCGGCGCAGTGCCAACGGTAATACCACGCAAGTGGCGATCGTTGACATCCAGAACGCGTCTCCAGGTGATGGTCTCGGGGTCGATGTCGAGGCGAGCGAAACGGCGAATCTCATCAGCGGTAAGGTCGTCGGGGTTCGTCTTGTCGATGCCGAGCTTCTTGAGACGGGGCAAGAAGACTGGCGGGAACACTCTCTTGCCGCCCTTGGCGGGCACAAGACGCTTGTAGAGAGGGCCATCCTTCTGAGTGTTCTCGTGGAACATGCGAGTCTCAATCGCAGCAGCGAGCAGGTTGTTTGCCGCAGTGATGGCGTGGATGTCTCCAGTCAAGTGGAGGTTGAACTCGTCCATGGGAATAACCTGGGCGTAACCACCACCAGCGGCACCACCCTTGATACCAAAGGTAGGTCCCTGACTAGGCTGGCGGACGTTGGCGAATGTAACGCGGCCAAGGTGGGCGCCAAGGGCTTGAGCGATACCCATCGTGGTGGTTGACTTGCCCTCACCAAGAGGCGTGGGAGTGATACCCGTTACGACAACATACTTGCCATTGCGACGGTGCTCGAGACGCTTCAGGATGGTCAAGTCAACCTTGGCCTTGTAGGCTCCGTACGGCTCGAGTTCGTGAGAAGCAATGCCGACCTCCTTCGCCAGGCGAGTGATTTGCTTGGGGTTCTGGGCTCTAGAGACCTCAATGTCGGAGGGGACAGGCTCCTTGAGGTGCAGCGGCAGAGGAGAGATCTTTCTCTGTTTTTGCTTCTCAAACGACTTGACTGTAGACTCGACGACGTTGGACAGAAGCATGGCGACGGTCATGGGACCAACACCACCCGGAACAGGGGTGATGTGGGAAGCAACCTCGGCAGCGGAGTCGTAGTCGACGTCTCCGACGAGGCGCTGACCAGACTTCTTGGAGGCATCGGGGACGTAGTTGGTACCGACATCAATCACAACAACACCAGGCTTGAGCCACTCGCCCTTGACGAATCCGGGCTGGCCAATGGCCGCAATGACAATGTCCGCCGCCTTGAGGTGTGCCTCCAAGTCTTGGCTCTTGGAGTGGCACACGGTGACAGTCGCGTCGGCGTTGCGAAGCAGGTAGCTGACAGGGCTGCCAACGATATCACTGCGTCCAAGGACAACAGCGTTCTTGCCCTTCACGTCGACTCCAGCCTCCTTCAACAGAACCATCACACCCTTGGGAGTGCAAGGGATGAAGAAAGGGCGGCCACCCTTCTTGGCAAGCTCGCCGATGTTCCTGGTGCCGAAGCCATCGACATCCTTTTCGTCTGCAACGGCAGATGTGATGACGTACTCATCGAGGTGCTTCGGGATGGGGAGCTGAACCAAGATACCGTGAACAGCAGGGTCGTCGTTGAGGCGGTAGATGCGATCCAAGAGCTCGGGCTCAGAGATGGACTCGGGGAAGTTGACCAATTCACAATCGACATTTGCCTGACCACGTTAATCATTGGTCAGTAGACCTGAGGTGTCAGTGACATGTCTTACCTCCTTTGCGGCCTTCTGCTTCATGCGCACATAGGTGCCTGCGGGGTTGTGAGCATCGTGATAAATTTCATGGTGGGGTAAATGACGAAGTACGACATACTTGAGTCCGATCTGTCACCGACTGTGGAAGAGTATTGTCAGCATTGTCGATAGACGACGAGTTCCGAAAGTGATGAGATATACCTTGAATGATGGTAAGGCGAGGCTGGAACCTCGGGTTCGCCTTTTGCTTCTCGAGAATGTCGCTGGCAATGGACTCCCGAATCTTCTTGGCGACGGCAGTGCCATCGATCTTGTTGGCGACCATGGCTGAGGTTGCAAAGGACCTATTTTGGGAAATCGAATCGTAGGAACCCGGGGCCCTTGCAATGAATGGACGGGGAGATTGCCAAGAAACCAGAGATGCAGCTTGTCCTCGCAGGTGTCCAAACGCGAAGTTTTTGGGATGATAGGAAGAAGATGAAAATGTCGGGACAGGCACCGAAGTCAAGCGCGCAGGTTGGGTGTAAGCGGGAGCAGCGAGGATGAGGGGTGGTGGGCAGCGGTGCAGGTCGGGATTTAGCGCGCTGCAGGGCCGACGGCCAGATGGGGAACGACCCGTATCTACCCCAAGGTTCAGAAGTGACCGGCGGGAAGGGGAGGTTTGGATCTTTTGGGACAGTGACGATGGATTGTGAGTGGCCGATGGTGCTCGCGAGGGCAATCCGCGGGTTCTCAGCCGAAGCTGAGACTTGTTGGGCATGGCCATGCGGCGTGTTGTCCAAGACAGCCTCTGAGGGCCTTTCAACTGGCTGATAGACGACATGCCGAATACCGAGATGAGAGTGTGAAGCGTCTGTCTCCCTTGGGGCCTTGGTGGTGTGTCCCTTGCTGGCTTCGATCTTCCCTTGGGTGGAGCTAAACGATAGGGCCCTGTGACTCCCAGATCGCGTGCGTGTGAGTCGTACCTATGACTGTTGAGGTTCCCTGGTAGGCTGGTCCTGGCTATGCAGACTCTGTACGAGTGAGTCCCAGTGAAAATGGAAGGATCAGCCGTATGTGGCAGGTGAAAATTTTCGGGCGAGTCTCCGAAGCCGGCGGCAAACCCGATCGATAAGAAGTCGAGTTGTGGGTATTATATAAAGTAAGCTAAGTACTGAGCTGCTTTCGAGGCTTGTTTATGGTTGAGGGAGGCTCCCGTGAATGATATGTTTTGGAAAAAAACACACACACAATTGAGAAACCAATCAAGACTGAACGGATAAGAAGATGGATCGAATGAATTGACGTGTCCAAGAAGGGAAAAGAGGAAACGGGGTAGAGTGATACAAATACGGTACAGGAAACAAGACAAGACAAAGAAACAAACGACGGTGGTCCGGACGGTCTGATTTCTCTTTCGCAAAAAAGACTGTCTCGGTAAAGCGCATGTGAAACTACCATGAGCTTCACGTAGTTGAGCCAAAGGGTCCGAGGCTTGACTTGATAGTGTTTAATGCCAAGTTTCGAGGTCCGGAAACGCTGTTCATGGAACACGTATGAGTCAAGGATGAGTCGAGTTGCCATAAAAGGACGTTGTTATTATACCGAGTACTCGACTCGAGGGAAGGATGGACAGGTATAGGAAATGCAACGGCGTGGGAATTGGATGATGATGACCGCACTATTCTGACGGGCACGGAGCTTCAACGGCTGGGCTGCCACGAATACCACGCTGTCTGGCTTGGACAGTTTGGAGGGTTGGCACTTGGAGGGCTTGGAGCTGCCATGACTCCCGTCCCGCCGCCAACCTCTCCAGGGGCAGCTCCAGCCTGGACCGGCACGCTAAACTTCTAGAAGGCTGGGTTTGCCTGCACCGGTGGAAGTTTCCTCGAACACCTCCCTCAGGCTTGACAGGCAAGACAGGTACCTCAAATGCCCGAGGTACCTTACCCTAAGATACCTACCTATCTTACCTAAGGCCTAGGAGATGAGCTGTAAGCGCTGGCAGCGTCACACACCTGGGACGATTGACTCACCTTGCTGTAAGACTGTGCCACACCTACCTAGGTAGGTGGCCCACGCCCGTGCTAAGGTAAGCTGCCACTTGCGGCTTGCCTGAGGCGGCCAAAGACGGTAAGGCGGTGAATGGCCCTCACCTCAACCGGCAGAATGGTCGCGGGGAAAAAGTGCGCCCCACACACCAGAGCACCGAAACCCACAATGTCGAGGTGAAGGCAAAAATTCACGATTGACCCGACGACATCAGCCTTTTAAAGACCGACGTCCCCTGCCGCAACAACGTGCCCGTATACCAAGCCCCCGATATCGAGAACCGCATCACCTCCCGACATCAGACAATATGAGGCCCATTCTTTTGGCAGGCCACGAGCGTGCGCTCACCCAGATCAAGTACGTTTCTGCACCCCCCAAGCGCGAAATGTCCAATTCGAGGAGGGGGAAGCGAAGCGCCCAGGGCTATCTTCTCCCTCATCCCCCAACTCCCATACCACAGGAGGGGCTATGCATGCTAACCCGATGCGCCACCTCGAATAGGTACAACTCGGACGGTGACCTGATCTTCTCGACCGCCAAGGATCAACAGATTTGCGCCTGGTACGCACACAATGGCGAGCGTCTGGGAACCTACCACGGCCACGTCGGTGCCATCTGGACTGTCGACGTCGACCCCACCAGCACCCTGATCGCTTCCGGTTCCGCCGACAACACGATGAGACTTTGGGATGTCAAGTCTGGCAAGAACCTCAAGACCTGGGAGTTCCCTACCGCCGTCAAGCGCGTCGAGTTCAACGAAGACGGCACCAAGCTGCTCGGTGTCACGGAGAAGCGCATGGGTTACCTTTCCAACATCATCGTCGTCGACATCAACCCCGACCCCGAGGCCGAGCAGAGCGATGAGCGCGTCTTGACCATCGTTTGCGACGAGAGCAAGGCCACCGTTGCTGGCTTCAGCTACCTCACCAAGTACATTATCGCCGGTCACGAGGACGGTTCCGTGTCGCAGTACGATGCCAAGGTGGGTCTGGTCAGAGGGATATCATAAGGGGATTGTGAAGCTGACCATCGGCCAGAACGGTGACCTGATCTACAACGAGCCCGTTCACGAGCTCAACACGCCCATTACGGATCTCCAGTGGTCCCAGGACAGAACCTACTTCATCACCGCCTGCAAGGACAAGACGTCCAAGGTACATCCGACATGCCTGGCGATTCGCAAGACCAAATGCTGACATGATATAGCTCATCACCGCCAAGGACCTCGAGGTTCTCAAGACCTACACCGCTGATACCCCTCTTAACAGTGCCACCATTACACCCAAGAAGGACTTTGTCATCCTTGGAGGTGGTCAGGCCGCCATGGATGTCACCCGTACCTCGGCGAGACAAGGAAAGTTCGAGGCGAGATTCTACCACAAGGTCTTTGAAGACGAGGTTGGCAGAGTCCGTGGTCACTTCGGTCCCCTGGTAAGTCCCCCCTCTGAGCCCCTGATATCATGTTATGCCGGCGACTGACTTTCCTGAAGAACACCGTCGCTGCAGACCCTACCGGAAAGGGCTACGCAAGTGGTGGTGAGGACGGTTACGTCCGTGTCCACCAGTTCGACAAGGGCTACTTCGATTTCATGTACGAGGTCGAGCGGGAACGGAAGAACAGACAGGAGAACTAAGAAAGATTTGGGGAATTTCTGGTTTGGAAAAGAAAAACTTAAGAGCAAGGCCCCCCTTACTTTTTTCTTCTTTCGTCTTTCTTTTCGCGGCTTGCATTAGTACGGCGTTCTGGGAAATCTCTGGGGGGATGGTTAGATTTGGTTTTGTAAAAACCTAGGGCAGTCCGCGAAAACCAAAAGCGAAAAGTAAAAAGAAGCCTGGTAAAAAACGGATGATATCAAACTTTCATCCTCTCCGCGCTTTTGGGGCGGTGGGGAGAAGCCTCGAGGATGAGATGAACCAAAACGTAATGATGAGATTTCTGACAAGTTAGTACCATCAAATGAGAGTCATGATGATGTTCAAATCTGGTTCACTTGAATGGTGTTTTGTTTTCCTTAAGAATGTCGTATGTGTCTGTACTTTGTAGCAGGAGACTCTCTAGTGGTTGGTGAGGGGAGCACATGGGTACAAACATTCGCACGTTGTGGTTAGAAGTTACACAGCTCCCAGCAACTCTCCCAGCTCTCTACGATGTCCGAGATGTTCAAGAACATAAAAAGTACAAAAAGACATCGCTAACGTGCTTTCTGAAGGTCTTTTTGTCCGATACAGGCTCGAAAAACGCAAAAATGAAAGGGACGAGACTCGAACTCGCGCGGGTTGCCCCACCAGGAAACAGATGTTAAGCTAACCTTAACCTGGCGCCATAACCAACTCGGCCACCCTTCCGATGAAGGTTCCTCATCCGTTCAAGATTTAGGTAGCGCCGATCCCGCGCGTTTCCCGCGTTTGGTGGGGTTTTGCAGGCGCTGGCCCATAGGTATGGTGCCTGTCGAGCCATTAGCAGTGGTGGGTTTTCTCTTGCGTTCCCCTGTCGAACCCGTCACCCTGTTGACGGGCTCGGCCAAGGGGGCCTGTCTTCACGTGGCTTCCCTCTGACTTGGACAGGCTGATGAACCTCGGAGGAGAATGGGAGAGAGAGACACTGTGAGTGAGTTATAACGGTTTGCATTTTTCCTTTGACTTTTTCAGGTATTCGTATCTCCTTGGGTATGCAATGTGCGGAAACTAGGAATCAAACGAATTATTCTAGAAATCACCGAAGCTCCAACGTGTAGCTGGCCTGAAGCCTCTGGCACATTCTAAAGAATGTGGGGGGTCCTTTGAGCGATGGCTCTTTACGCATATTGGACATGTTAGCGCATTTGCAGTTGAGGGACTTTTTTTTTTTCGGGCCCATGCTGGGCGGGCTGGCACCCCGCCGGTCTGCGCGGGTGTTTGGACGACACGGGCACCACCTCATTGCTACTCGGAAAGTTGGGACGAAGCCCGAAGGGCATATTCCTGCGACCGACGGGATGTGATCCCTACTATGGTACGTGTGCTGTGTGTTGAAACATGTTTGAATGTACGACGATATGCACATCAGAAGAACAGCCCGAACTGAGAGGGTGCGCTGAAACCCTGAAACCTGAAACTTTATTCGGGGATATGTACGCACAATGCGAGTGAAGTCAACGTCATTCAGAGGGAGATAGAATAGACACAGTAGGCAAAGAGAGAGAAAATGTAAGCGACAATGAAAATATTTATGTCTTTGTGATTACCCCCGTGTTGATGGCGGCCGACCCTTTATCTTCCAAAAGGTCGTCGACATGAAACCGCCAACAAGTGACGGGGGAACAGATAGTATGATGAATATGTGTAGCTATGGGGTTCGTGAGACTAGCTAGCCGTCCCTTTCATTTGGCATCATCGCGAAAACAGTCCCCTAAAAACCATAACACCGCCCCATGCACCTTGGTTTAGTTAAAAACAAGAAACAAAACGGAAAACCAACGCCTCTCGTGAACACGCAATTCTCTAAATGCTTTGCGTGCAAGTTTCTTCCTCCCATATGCCTGCCCCCTTTCGATGCTCGCTCAGTCCCGTCGTCAAGACAATGATGTCCGTATAACCGTTAAACAGACAACTTCAGGAGGTGTAGTAGGACGCGTTCCGCTAACCCACCCCCAAAGTTGAACCGCTGTCGAAAGTGAAGAAAGTCGTGGAATGCTAGTCGGGCAAATGCACTATGTGTGCCTGCTACGCTTTGGTCCGCCGCCAAACATGTTCTTGTCCAGACTGCTGAGGTCGAATATCTCTGCAAAGTTGATCTTGCGCTTCGAGCCCGCGCCACGGCCGAGATTGCTTCCTTGTCTTGATGCTGAACGGGGCATGTTGGCGGGGTGTCGTGGTCTTGCTGTGCGCGTTGCGGGGTTTGTGTTTGTTGACGATGCGTCGTGTGTCCGAGAGTCTGAGAGGTCCAGGTTTGCGAGGTTCAGGTAGGCATCTTGTTGCTGAGGTTGAGGCGGCCAGGGGTGAGATGATTGAAAGGTGAAGGAGTCTGCCGTCGGTACCGTGACTGATATCGGTTCGCGTCCTTCTTGCTCCTCTTCCTCGATGGGCTGCGGGATGCTAGGGGGCGCCGAGTCCGTTCTTAGCTGGGATGAGAGTTGTGTGCTGCTGCTCGTCCTATTCAGTTCCGGAGAGGAAGCAGTTTCCGCCTTATCCGCCTCGTCGTCGCTTTCGGCGTTCTGTGAGCCCGCATCTCTGGCGCCGTCCAGCTTCTCGGTCGCCCAACTTCGGATCCTCCAGCCATCGCCGTCGCCCAGACCGATTCTCTCATTGTCGAGGAACGATAGCAGGTCGTCGAGGCAGTCTTGATAGCCGTCCATGCGGGCCTTGGATTGAGCGGCCGCAGAGGTCTTGTAGAGTTTCGTCACAGAGAGCGCGGCGGCCTTGAAGGCGTCGATGAGTTGCTCGGGGGAGTCATTTTGCGTCGGCTGCTTGGCGGCCGCTGAGGCGCCCGGGAGGGAGGTGTTCAAACTTCGCATAGAGTCCATGATGTTGTACTGTCAACGACCGAATCGCTGAAGAGAATCAATATCGAGTCAAAGGGTGGGAAAGATGAGTCCCGCACCTCTAGCGGTGAAATGTAGGTAAGTTGAGGTTGTCGGGTAAACAAATCTTGCAGTTGAAGCCGGAGTGGGGTCCAAACGGGGTCCCCCAGCGAAGTTAACTGTGTGGCGATAAGGTGCGAGATGGTGGTGGTAGTCCTTAAGTGCACCTAGCTGCACTACCTATCGAGGGTGTTCGGGCGGGCTCCCTTGGGCCGCAAAGAGTGAAAGAAGGAGATGCCGAAGACTTGGTGGTGGAGATAGTCAAACAAGCTGTGATGAGAAGATGCAGTTGCTTGACGGCGGAAGTGAAGCACTGAGGTCAGCTCGCCTTTGCCGCAGAGCACATGACACTGGACGGCGGTGCTAACCGACAGCCAACAGCAGCTTAACAGGGCCCAATTTACCTTGGATCTTAGGTGGCTTTGACGTTATCCCCTCCACCTATGGCCAGTGCGCTGGGTAGTCTTGGCCGGCTGACCCAGTTGTGCCAATCTTGGAGCGGGCGGTGGATCCTCCGACGTTTTCCCAAATTCCCATCTCCCGTCAGCACCGTGCCCCTGGCTGGCGAGCGCCCGAGAGGACACGGGATGGGGGGAAGGGTCGGAGGCTGCCTTCTTCCGGACCCGAGCCACGGGCGGCGCTAAACGTACCGGTACTGCTGCACTGATCGGGAATTGACACGGCGGAAACGCGCTAGTCCTGTTTGGAAATTGTCTTCTACAGCAGAGGGATCCCACCTTTCCTCCCATCATCTCTAAAAAACATCTACGGACCGTTCACCCTCACGCAGCAACAAAGCATTCGGCCATTTTTCTGAATGCTCCGCGACCGTTTGCATTGCGATATCACTTCGAGCATTTGAACTATACACACCCATCTGGAGCGCGCTGTCAAATCCGTAAGAAACGCGTGTAAGTCGCGTAAAGTGATTTACAGCCGTCAAGATGGCTCCTCGATCTCGAGCTGCCGCGGTCGATACCGACGCGTCAATGTCCGACGCTGCGGATGTCCACCCCGTGGAAGAGATGGTACGTTTCTCCTGCCATGATTATTCGCGTTGGTGTACTCCTAACGGAGCTCATGTTGCGGTTGAAACCTTTGGCCCATTTGCTGACGTGCAAGCAGGAAGTCGATGAGACGCCCGACTACACCGACTCAGACACCAATGCGAATACCACTGCTAGCAGTGTTGTCGGAGAGCCCCTCGGAGATGGTCGCAGGAAGCGATCCGAGGCCAACCAGCTCCGTCGCAGCATCTTTGGCAAGAAGCATGACAGACTAGGTGAATCAAAGGTATGCAAGGCGCAAACCACTCACCATTTCGAGCATAGGATCTTTCGGTGTATGCTAATCAATATTCGAAAATAGGAAGAAGACAGTATTCGCCGATTCCGATACTTGTTGGGTCTTACGGACCTCTTCCGCCACTTCATCGAGACGAACCCCAACCCCAAGATTCGCGAAATCATGACCGAAATCGATCGACAAAACGCCGAGGCATCAAAAAGCAAGAAGAAGGGCGCCCGCCAAGGTGGCGCCAGCAATGAACGAGTACGCCGGACCGAAGCTGAGGAGGATGCAGAGCTGCTTCGTGACGAGAAGCACGGTGGTTCTGCCGAGACGGTTTTCCGCGATTCACCCGCCTTTGTTCAAGGTCAGATGAGAGACTACCAGATTGCCGGTCTCAACTGGCTTATTTCTCTCCACGAAAATGGTATCTCTGGTATCCTCGCCGACGAGATGGGTCTCGGAAAGACACTGCAGACAATTTCCTTTTTGGGCTACCTCAGACACATCATGGACATCACTGGACCGCATATTGTCATCGTACCCAAGTCAACTCTGGATAACTGGAAGCGAGAGTTCGAGAGGTGGACTCCTGGGGTCAACGTCCTGGTGCTTCAGGGTGCCAAGGACGAGCGCCAGGCGCTTATCAATGATCGCCTGGTCAACGAGGACTTTGATGTCTGCATCACGAGTTACGAAATGGTCCTGCGCGAGAAGAGTCACCTGAAGAAGTTTGCATGGGAGTACATCATCATCGACGAGGCGCATCGTATCAAAAACGAGGAATCATCCTTGGCGCAGGTCATCCGTCTCTTCAACTCCCGAAACCGACTCCTCATTACCGGCACACCCCTCCAGAACAACCTGCATGAGTTATGGGCTCTGCTCAACTTCTTGTTGCCTGATGTCTTCGGCGACTCCGAGGCCTTTGACCAGTGGTTCTCTGGCAGAGAGCAAGACCAGGACACCGTCGTTCAGCAGCTTCACCGCGTTCTCAGACCATTCTTGCTCAGACGTGTCAAGGCAGACGTGGAGAAGAGCTTGCTGCCAAAGAAGGAAGTCAACGTCTACCTCGGCATGTCAGAAATGCAGATCAAGTGGTATCAGAAGATTCTTGAGAAGGACATTGACGCTGTCAACGGCGCCAACGGCAAGCGGGAGTCGAAGACCAGACTGCTCAACATTGTGATGCAGCTGCGCAAGTGCTGCAACCACCCCTACCTGTTTGAGGGTGCTGAGCCTGGGCCGCCCTACACCACCGACGAGCATCTTGTTTACAACGCTGGAAAGATGGCTGTTCTCGACAAGCTGTTGGCCAGAATGCAGAAGCAGGGAAGCAGAGTTCTCATCTTCTCACAGATGAGTCGTCTCTTAGATATCCTTGAGGACTACTGTGTGTTCAGAGAGTACAAGTACTGCCGTATCGATGGTGGAACAGCCCACGAGGATCGTATTGCTGCCATTGACGAGTACAACAAGCCCGGCTCTGAGAAGTTCATCTTCCTCCTTACGACCAGAGCTGGTGGTCTAGGTATCAACCTCACCACGGCCGACATTGTCGTTCTCTACGATAGTGATTGGAACCCTCAAGCCGATTTGCAGGCTATGGATCGAGCTCATCGTATCGGTCAAACCAAGCAAGTCGTGGTGTACCGTTTCGTTACGGACAATGCCATCGAAGAAAAGGTTCTGGAAAGAGCAGCCCAGAAGCTGCGTCTCGACCAGCTGGTCATTCAGCAAGGCCGGGCTCAAGTCGCAGCAAAGGCTGCAAACAACAAGGATGAGCTTCTCTCCATGATTCAACATGGTGCCGAGAAGGTGTTCCAAAGCAAGGGTGCCACCGGCACACTTGCCTCCAAGGGCACCGAGTTGGACGACGATGACATCGATAAGATTCTTTCCTCGGGCGAATCAAGAACGAAGGAGTTGAATGCCAAGTACGAGAAGCTTGGAATTGACGACTTGCAGAACTTTACATCCGAGTCAGCCTACACCTGGAACGGTGAAGATTTCAAGACGAACAAAAAGGAAATCGGCATGAACTGGATCAACCCCGCCAAGCGTGAGCGAAAGGAGCAGTCCTATTCCATGGACAAGTATTTCCGACAGGCCATGTACCCTCCCAAGGAGAAGGACACGAAGCCCAAGGCACCCAGAGCTCCGAAGCAAGTACCAGTCCACGACTATCAATTCTACCCTCCTAGATTGCGCGACCTTCAGGACCGAGAGACTGCTTTCTACCGCAAGGAGATTGGTTACAAGGTGCCGCTGTCTGACGGCGACGACGAGACCCTTGATGAGCGCGAGGCAGAGCGAGCCTTGGATCAACAGGAGATCGACGAGGCCACCGCACTCAACGAGGAGGAGCTGGAGGAGAAGCAGCGCCTGTCGCAGCAAGGCTTTGGAGAGTGGAACAGACGTGACTTCCAACAATTCATCAACGCGTCAGGCCGCTACGGCCGCAACGACTACGCAAACATTGCCGAAGATATTGACAACAAGACTGCCTCCGAGGTCAAGCAGTATGCCAAGGTCTTCTGGCAGCGATACACGGAAATTGCCGATTACAACAAGTACATCAAGGTGATTGAGGACGGCGAGGAGCGTATGCGCAAGATTGAGCACCAGAGAAAGCTGCTCCGCAAGAAGATGTCGCAATACCGCGTTCCCCTGCAGCAGCTCAAGATCAACTACTCCGTATCCACCACCAACAAGAAAGTTTATACCGAAGAGGAAGATCGGTTCTTGCTAGTCCTGCTCGATAAGTACGGCATTGATTCTGCTGGACTATACGAGAAGATGCGTGACGACATTGCGGAGAGCCCACTGTTCCGGTTCGACTGGTTCTTCCTTAGCAGGACGCCCGTCGAGCTGAGCCGTCGCTGCACTACTCTCCTCACTACCATTGTCAAGGAGTTTGAGGATGTTCACCCGACCAAAGGTGCTAATGGCGTCAACGGCAAGCTCAAGAGAGAGGCCGAGGATGAGGAGAACGACGAGGATAGCATCCTCGGTATGGCCCCTTCGAAGAAGAAGACCAAGAACGGCGTCAAGGTGAGTGCTAGACTGGTTGAATGAATGAACCTTGCTAACCACACAAATAGAACAAGGCTCTGGACAACGTCAAATCGGAGGTCGCAAGCAAGAACACATCTGCCGCGCCGTCGAGGGCGTCGAGTGTCGCCTCGAACAAGTCTGCCACCAATGCCAAGAGCAAAACCAAGGGCAAGAAGAAATAGACGCGGGCGAGTGAAGCTACATGAGCAAGATTAAGAATTGGTCTTTGGGTTGGGGATAACGGCTTTTCATGGCAGTGACTACGATAGATGGAGGCGTTTGGTCTGGCATAACCTTTGGTCGGTTATCTGGTAAGGAACCTCTTTGTATGACTTCCGCGATAGAGGGGACTGTGCCGTCTAGTGTTGGGGCATCATTAGTTCGGACAATACGAGAATAAAATGCATTCAAAAGATGGCCTTTTTCCGATGATGCGGTGTATGAAGGAAACATAGGATAATATCGTACCATGTCAGCTGACTTGGCTTCTTGCTACTTTCCGCCATTACATACTCGTCCCTTCAGGTCCATGACCTTTGATTCTAGGACACAATTGAGCCTTGTTCAAAAGGAAAGCTACTCAGTCGATGTTACTCGCTTCCCCACAGCCGAGTTATTCGCGTTGCGCCCCTCGACAATCTTGAGGGCCGCGAAATCGCTGGTCTCAGTTCATCACAATTAGACAGTTCTGTAGCACACTTCCATATTGCGGTTCTCCGTGACTATCTCTGGATCTCAATGGCGCCCATGCCGGCATCGAAGAGAACGAAAACCACCCATCGCCGCCGGACATCAGGAGGAGCCGGAAGTCCCTTGAGTACTAGGGAGGAAAATTGTATTGAATGACCTCGCCGGCGGGGAGAGCTCCTCGTACGTCGGTCAGCAGGCGCATTTAGTTTACTATAGCTTCTCCAACAAGGTGAAGATAGCATATAGTGAACCCTGATAGAGCCTGATAGAGGTTGTCGCAATCCCAAGTCTATCGCTGTGGCGGCGAGACTGGTGACCGTGGAAGAAGCGGCAGGCAAGTTTCGTATTACAGTCGGTGCTCTCTGTCTTGGGTTCTGAGCATCTTGGTGCGGGTGTCGGTTAGGGCATAGTAAGGTAGTAAGCAACTTCCTTAGAATAGGTATCTTCTCTAACGAGGTCGGGATGCGGTCTATTTAGACGGCATCAAGAGCTACACGGGCGCCATTGATTGGCTGGGTGACTATTGGATTTCTTATGTGTTTTACACAGCAGTCTGTCTCATTGATATACGTGTAAATGTTTGTAGCTGATGAGGATTTAGGACCTGTGGTAAATACTGCATCGGCCTGCTATAACAAAGTGCTCAAGCTTGAAGAATCAATCTTACAGTGGCAACATTATTTTGTGAACAAAGTGAATGTATGGACCGCTATTGTAAGCATTCTTAGTTTGGCTGGTAATCTTGTCAAGAGTTCGTGACTTTGTGGTTGCTTTTAGTTGAGACCTCTGAGCATCATTGGGATGTGTGTGGTCTTTGATGTGTGACGCAACTTATTCAATAGAATACAAAAATACCAACTAGTCTTTCATGTACTCAGGATGCAATGCCAAAAAGACTCGTACCGTTTAGTGTAAGCAACTGGCAAAAGACAGAAAAAAACACAAAAAAATGAGACGCGATCCGTGGGACTCGAACCCACAGCCTTCCGATTAAAAGTCGGACGCTCTGACCAAATTGAGCTAGGAAAGCGACGACTTTTGTTGAATTTTCGGAGTTATTTGGCTCACTATGTACCCTTAGCTGGGAGTGGGGTTGCTGAACACACCACGTCAGTTTCCGACCCATGCCAAGTGAGCCCCGGCCCATTTCAGTCTGGGCTCTTTCTCACCGTTCAGCAAATATTTGCGCGACTTGATGTGTATCAAGCAAGCTGAGTAGATAACCTATTGGTTTCTGATACAGATGCCTGGAAGACAAACGTACTGCACACGACGTGTATGTATCATGTAAGATATATTCAGGTGAACGATTATGCACATCAGCTCCCACCCCAGTTGATGCCTGTTGATGCACTCTTGATTTATCTCCTAAATAATCGTAGTTTTAGGCAGGCAATCGCAATACTTGTAGATATGAGAATATCAACAACATCGCTAGACAATAGCCGCGTCAGACTGTGAGTGGTTGGCTGGCGTAAGATGAACCTGGAACGTCATTCCTGCCCCGCAGTAGCAACAATAGCACTAGCACTGCCCCTCCATCCCGGATCGACATCCCAGCTCCAGGTCCAGGTTCCCACTCGACACTGTCGACCGCCATTGTGGTGCCTGGCTAGAAAGCTGAACCCCGACGCAACTCACGCACCCCAAGACTCTTGATTGTTTCATCATCTTTGCTCGGTGCTTTAGGGAATTCTATTCGCATTGCATACCAGCGTATTTGGAGTTCACACATCATGTCTGTCACCATCGAAAAGATCTTGGCTGCTTCGCCCGCTACGCAGCGTGGCCAGCCGACACAGCTCTCCACAGACAACAAAGGAGAGCGCATTGCCTACGCTGTTAGTCCCAACTGTACCTCTCGACGAACAATGCCTCAGCTAACAATGCATTCCCGCAGGCCGGCAAATCCATCTTCCTCCGGTCCATCGACAACCCTTCCGTTTGCAAGCAATACACCGGCCACACAGCGGCAACGAGCGTCGCCCGGTTCTCTCCCAGCGGCTTCTACGTCGCCAGTGGAGATGTGTCTGGATCCGTGAGAGTTTGGGACGCCGTTGAGGCCGAGAACACAAAGGGTACGGCATAACACCTTCATACCACAGTCGGCTGTCTTTCAGTCGGTGCTGACTGCATTACCAGGCGAATACCACATCATCTCGGGGCGCATCAACGACATTGGCTGGGACGGCGACTCCCAGCGCATCATCGCCGTGGGTGACGGCAAGGAGCGCTTCGGTCATTGCATCACGGCAGACAGCGGCAACTCTGTCGGAGAGATCAGCGGCCACTCCAAGGTCGTCAACTCAGTCGCGGTGCGGCAACAGCGTCCGCTGCGGGCAGCGACCGTCTCTGATGACAGCTCCCTGTGCTTCCTGCACGGCGCGCCTTTCAAGTTCAACTCGAAGAACGCCAACGCCCACAAGGGCTTCGTCTTTGGAACTGCCTTCTCGCCCGATGGCAGCCAGCTCGTAACGGTCGGTGCCGACAGGCGCATTCAGCTCTACGACGGTAAGACGGGCGAGCCTACGAAGTCGATTGGCGAGGGAGAACACACTGGCAGTATCTTTGCCGTTTCATGGTCTCAGGATGGCACCAAGTTTGTCACAGCAAGCGCCGACCAGTCTGTCAAGCTCTGGGATGTGGAGTCGGGCAAGGCTACACAGACGTGGAAGTTTGGGGACGGCGTCAGCATCGGCGACCAGCAAGTTGGCGTTGTGTTCCCCCACGGCAGAACCGACGGCCTGATTATAAGCTTGAACTTGAACGGCGACTTGATCTACCTCAATGAGGGCAGCGACAAGCCTAGCAAGATTGTTCAGGGCCACAACAAGAGCATCACGGCATTGGGCGCGTCGTCTGATGGCAAGGGGCAGACGCTGTGGAGCGGTAGCTTCGACGGGCGGGTTTGCCAGTGGGATGTTGCCACTGGCACTGGCTCGGTGGTCGACGGACAAGCGCACACAAATCAAGTCACCCAGTTCAGCGCCGAGGCGGGACAGACGTACAGTGTTGGGTGGGACGACCACTTGAGGATAGTTGACGAGTCAGCCAACACGTTCGCGGGCGAGGCCCTCAAGCTTGCTGCGCAGCCCAAGGGTGTGGCGGCCACGGATGGAAAGGTGTACGTGGCCACCATTGAGGGTGTCGATGTCTACCAAAAGGGTCAGCTTCTCTCCGAGAACCGCCTTGGATTCACTCCTGGCGCTGTGGCTGCCTTCGGTTCGACGGTGGCCGTGGGATCTGGCAACTCTGTCAAGATCTACACTGCGGACGGGTCAGGCAAGCTCTCCGAGACAAAGTCGGTCGACAAGTCGACGGCTCTCATTTCTTGCCTGTCCTTCTCCAAGGACGGCCAGTACCTCGCCGCAGGCAACCAGATCGGCAAGATCGTCGCCTACAAGACTGCCGACTGGGAGGTTGCGACGGACCGTTGGTCTGCGCACACGGCGAGGGTTACGTGCATCAGCTGGAACGATGCGGCAACGCACGCCGTCTCTGGAGCTCTGGACACCAACGTTTGCGTGTGGAGTCTGGCCAAGCCTGGTAGCCGTGTCAAGGCACTCAACGCTCACAAGGATGGTGTCAACGGTGTTGCGTGGGTTGAGGGTGGCAGCAAGATTGCGAGTGCCGGAGGCGATGCCGCGATCAAGGTTTGGACCGTCGCTGGGCTGCAATAGCTGGTCTTGGCCGACAGTTTTGTAGGTGTTTTCAATAGGCGATGAATGAATAAATGAAAAGCGGCATGTTGTTATCTCGACGACGATGAACGCCGTTCGACTTTGGGTATCTCTTGTCTAAGGGGGAAGCTTGTTGCTACATTGTTCATGCCATGCACCCCACTTCGACCGTCCTCTCTCCTACAACCTCATAGAGTATTCGTCATAGTACTCTCCTCAATCTTTTCCAACCAAGATTCCTCTGGGAATGTAAAAGGCTTCCAGTTTTGATAAGACTCCTAGCCCATCGTCATCTGCGCCACCTCCTCCCGCTGAACCTCCTTTCCAGCACCGCCGCCGTCAGATGTCTCCGGCGCAGCAGCAGCAGGACCAGGTTCATCAGCGTAGCGGTTCATAAGCGCGCCGCTGACCTGCCAGACATCCACGTCCACCGGAGCCGCTCCCGTCGTCGCGACAGGGTGAGGCCGGTACTGCTGCTCAGTCTTATCGAGCTGCAGGGCCAGCTGCTCCAGAGCCCACGCGATGTCGCCGAGGCGGCCCCAGATCCCGTAGCCCTGGCGCTGGATCTCTTCGGCGAGCTCTACCTGGTGGTTGTCCTTTAGGGTTGGGTTGGGGACCACTACGAGGGGGACGCTGACGCGCATTCCGTCGAGGATGGTTCCCGTGCCTGGAAATATCTCGAATCAGCTTACACATGCACACACATTTAAATTCGTATAGGCGGATACATATACTGAAGAGCATCGAGTCACAACGCGAAGGATGATCCCCAGCTTACCTGCATGACAAATGACCACGCCAGCCTCCCGCACACCTGTCTGCGCTCTACACTTGACCATCTCGGTGGTCAGGTCATCGACAAAGTCAAAGGCGGTGAGTTCGATTCCCGGGTACTGATTCAAAAGCGGAGGTAGCATCTGGCGGGAAAATTCTGCGTAGTCCTTGCCGCATTGGAGTGTGAGGTGCGTGTAGCGATTCGAGGTGACATGGTCCAGGAAGGCGGCGGAGAGGACTTCAGTAAGGAGCTGGGTGAAGCGGGCTGTTGCGCCTACTGTTACGAGACAGTGGCGCTCGAGGGGCGTGGCTGGTTTCGCGGCCATGATGTGGTTGCGGCGTACCGTTGTGCTGAGCGTCGATGAGAGACGCGGTCTTTTGTGGTCGAGGTTGGGATGTTTATAAAGAGAGGTCTGTATGAGTGGATGACGATTTGAGGTTGTGTTGAAGCTCTCACGGAAAGTCACTTCTACAGGCACGGGCACCAAAAGGCACCTTCTACTGCCTTGGGTGACATTCGGCCGCTGTGGCACAGCCGATTGGTCGTAGGACGGGCTACCAGATCGGGTGTTGTAGCGGCCGCTGGCCTCCAAAAAGGCGGGATCTACGCCGTGGCCAGGAAGCTAGGGCCGTCCCTGGCTACCCGTCTAGCTGGGAACCCTTAATCTGTACCAAAACCAGCCAAGCTTGCATCGTTGAGGTCCAAGGCATTTCCAACTTCACACGTTCCTTTGCAATCGTTTAGATTCATCTATGGGGTATCTATCTTACTGCCATCCTACCCTCTAGCCTCTTGCTTCGATTCTACCTTGGTGTACTGATTGTCTGCCTTCTGAAATCTCCAAAATGGCTCGACACCCATCTCTTGGAATCTCTTCTTCTCGTACACCTTCGTTACCCCCCAGCTACTCACAAACATGACCACTACGATTCCAATTATACATACGCCGGCGATGAGTGGCGCAAGAATCGAAAAGACTGTGAAGCCATAACTCACACTTTGGAACGCGCTGTCACCAACGAGTCTGTCCGTGGCTAAGCCGACCTGCATCGCTGTTAAGACGATGACAACATAACCGAGCATCGCCGCCAGCGTTGCAAAGTTGTCCCGAATCAAATCTTCGTACACGGCATGGGAGACTACCTTGGAATACCCCCGGAGCAGGTATCCCAGGCGGACGCGGTAAATCTTGTTCAGCCGACTGAGACGAAGCTCGCCGTACCAGTACCGGGGGTTGACGGACGCATAACAATGGTTCTGTGCGATCTGGGCCGATATTGCCTTCCATTGGTACCAGTTCATCCGATCCGGGAGCAGGCCTCTTTCGACGGCTATGCGGAAATCGCTCTCGTACGCGATGAGGGCTGTGTAAGTGAAGAGGAAACCGAGCGCGCAGGAGACAAGCTGCTGCTTCCGTGGATCAGACTGATTGCCCGAGGCTTCGACCAAGTTGGCGGCCCAGAAGTCTGGGCTCAGCAGCCACCGTGGCATTGGCTTGACGAAGATTCGATTCTTGGCCCAGACGAGATGCAGTTCGGGATTCTCTGTGATGTGGATCTCGCGCGATATCGTCTGGTAATGGAGAGGCCGAGGCGGCATTGGACGGCCGCAGATCCAGAGAAGATCCTGGACATCGTTGAGTCGTCGGACGAGCAGCTCTTGTTCCAGAAACTCAATGTCGTCGGCTTGCGGCACGGTGATGTGATCGTGCTTGGTTCGGCTCGTTGCCGGTAGCAGATCGCTCCAGTCCCTTGGCTCCTGCACTGTCACTGCGGGATTGACGGCGTCATCGAGAACCCGGACAGTAAAGGGCACAGACGACTTGTCCATGGTGCGACTCGAGAAGCTTGACATGTGGACGGCGAATGTTGCTTTATGCTGGTCTTCGGCGTTGGCTGGTCCCATAACTTTCGGTCCCGACGCTCTTCCCTGATCTTGGCGAGAGATATCACGGTCCTCCGAGGCGCAGTCTATCAGACGGTCACTATCGGGAAGCGGGATGTTGGTGACAGGCCGTTCTTGCTTGCAGAAGCGCCCGCAATGAAAACAACTCCAACGGTGGTAAAAGCCCGACCGAAAATAGCCAACGGCGTGATTAAAAACCTTTCCAACAAGCCCAATTTGGCTGGTAAAAAAGAGTAGGCAACGAGATTCCAAGGGGCCCAACAGTGGCGGTCCCCTGTCATTTTAAGATGACTTGATTGCCTAGAGCCTTCCCGCCTGCAGCAAGCAAACCGTGTTGAGATTCCGAATACAGACGAACCCGAACTCGCTACTGCAGCGTGAGACGAGTTGCTTACTTGTGGGACAGCGCTACAAAATTAGAGGTGGCTTTGGTTCAGCTGAAAGACACTATTGGCGCAGTCGGACGATCGTTGGCATCGCAGGATTACAATGCATGGGGGTGGCTGACACCGCTAAGGTCGTTTCGGGCCGCCCAGTTGCAGGGAAGGGGGCTTATTAGCATTTTGGACCCCAAAGTGGCAGCCCTGTCAGGCTATGCTTATTACGCCGGTGCCTAGCTCCGTGGTCGGTTCGTATTCAAAGCTTGTTGATCCCCAGTTTCTCGGAAGTCGCGGTTGCGTTTGTCGTTTTGTCAGGTTCGTTTCGTTGTGTATGTTTCTTCGCAGCAAGTGGTCACCATCATGTCTATCCGCCGCACGGGAACGAGGAGGGTGCCTCACGGCGCAACTGGGGCTCCGAAGCCCAAGACGACGTATCAGACGGTCCAGCAGGGCTTCAGGGAATTGTACAATCCTCAGAAGGAGACTGGGTCTGCCATTGATGTTGAGTATGTCTCGATCTGCTTAGGTTGTGAGTTATGGTGGTATTTCGAGAGTCTAACACAATCGATAGCGTCGTCTTTGTACCTGGACTAGGTGCCCATCCGGAGGACAGTTGGAAGTCGGAAGCGGGCTTCAACTGGGCAACCGGAATCTATGAGGGCATTACGAAAAGCTCGTCTGAATCTGCTAGCAAAAAGGATGGCCTGGCGAGGGACTTCCCCAAGGCTCGCATACTTTTGTACCAGTATGAATCAGCATGGGTTGGGGATCTCAAAGTCAAGACTTTCTTGAGAGACATTGCTAAATCAATGCTGGAAGGGCTGCAAGCGAATCGTGAAGTAGGTTGATTGTGCTGAAGTCTGAATCGCGAGCTTGATCTAATCTGAGATTTAGAAAATAAGAGATCGCCCCATTGTCTTTATCGGACACAGCATGGGAGGCCTGGTTATTGCAAAGGTAAGAATCCGGCTACAAATTCAATCAATGAAGTGAGTCGAAGCTTACGGAATGTCAAGGCTATCACACTTGCAGCAGAAACATACAGGGAAATCTTCCCCAGGCTGTTTGAGTGCATCGCTGGATGCGCTTTCTTTGGAACGCCGTTCGGCGGTGCTCAAGTTGCCGCCATCGCCTCCATGCTGGGTAGTATCGGTGAACAACTTGGGTACACCAAGTCGTCGGCGTTGGTGGATATGATGAAGCCCGGAGACGAGAGCTTGAACGAGCTCCGAGGCGACTTGCTGCGGTTAGCTGCCAAAATGAGCACGCACGTCCAGCTCTTTTGCTTCTACGAGAATCACCCAACGGACTTTACCCAAGCAAAGCTAGGCCCAACCATGTCGAAAATCGCAAAGACGGTTGTTTCCAAGAAGCTGCAAGACTTCGTGTCTAGAGAGTCGGCGACATTACCTGGAATCCAGGAGATGGGTCTTGCCGCCAACCATCGAGATCTTGTAAAGTTTAGCGACTTCAAGGACCCCCGGTACCAACTCGTCAGAGAGCCGCTTAAGAGACTCATTCATGGCGCCAACCTGGTCGCCAAAAATAGACTCAACTCAACCCGCGGATTCGAGCCAGAGGTTGTCAACAATGTCATGGAGTTGTTGAACGGCGGCCAGGTCTCGAAGAAGCGCAAAATGCTTGCGCCTCAGTTCCCACCATCGATCTGGATTCCCAAGGCGGAGGCATACTTGGAGTGGTTAAAAGAGGACCACGAAGCGGGGAGCGCGACACAAAAGCACAGAGGACAGGCACTGTACGTCCGCGGTCCAGAGGGAAGAGGAAAGACGCGAGCGACTATGGCGGCCCTCCAGGACATCGACAACATCATCTCAGCCGACGAAAAGGTGAACCACGGGCGAGGAGCCGCCCTCGTTGCGTACTTCTTCTGCGATCCGTCTTCGGACTTTTTGACTGCTGAGGACTTACTGAAGTCGCTGGTGCGGCAGCTCATCGGCCAGCAAGCCACCTTGTCTGTGTACGCGAAGCACTTTGTGAAGAAGAAGGGCGAAGACTCGTCAAAAACATCGGCGAATCTCACGGTGGAGAACCTGTGGCAGACTCTTCAGGATATTCTTACAGACGAGTTTATCGGTCGCAGAGTCTACTTCGTCATCAACAACTTGCACGTTCTGCCTGAAGATGCCGAGTCAACTGTCAAGTTGATGCGGTTCCTCAACGCTGAGCTGCAAGAACTCAAGACAGAGGACGACAAGCGAGTGCCTACCAGATGGTTTCTCACAAGTAGAGAAGTCCATCACGTGGAAGACTCGTTGAAGGTGGACGGAATCCAACTCATCGATCTCGAGGACGACAAGTACTGCGACCAGGTTCAGCGGGAGCTGCGCAAGGCAGCACAGGAGAAGGTGCAAAAACTCGGCAAGGACAAGGAATACAACAAGGCGCTCACATACTATGCGAGCAGTCTGATTGGGAAGAGGGCATCCAACAGTCAATGGATCAAGCTTTCCTGCATGCAGCTTGCGGAGCTCCCTAAAGCAGAAAGTGATCTCAAAATTAGACACATGCTTGAGGGTATGCCTCAGGAGCTTAAGGCTCTCTTGGACGCTGCGTGGGCGCAAATCTTTAAATCCAACGAAAAGGAGACCGACAAGATCAAGGAGCTGCTGCGGACACTCGTTTTGACGTTTGAAGAGCCTACCGAGGATGAGCTTGTTGTTTTGGCGGGCTTCCCTGCCACGGAAGCGGGAAAGGCCGAGCTTCAAGATTTGGTGAAGAAGTGTAGGCCGTTGTTGACGGTGACGAGAAGCGGCAAGTCTGAAAATACTATTGGCTTTATGGACAGGGTCGTCAAAGAACATCTTCTGGAAAAGGAGACGTCTAGAAAGACGCTCGGCATGTCGAATGACGAGAACAAGTGGCAGCAGGGCATCATTGCGCTCCGGTGCTTGGCGCACATCAAGGATGCATTCAACTTCCCTGAGGAAGTGAAGCCTGTTGTGGAGGCTCAGGAGGAAAACGAAGAGGCAGAGACCCAGTCTACCAAGGACGAGGACGAGGAGAGTGAAGGATCTGAAGCAGACGGGGAGGAGAGCGCCGCCACTGGTTCTGAGCAAGACGATTCGGACAGCGACACGGACTGGGACGACGATGAATCTACCTACGGCTATCAAGACGACGAGGCCGAAGAGGCGAGAGTATTGGCCGAGAAGGTGCTGCCTTACCCCATCAAGCACTGGCTGCACCACGCCAGCAGAGCTACACTGGAGATTGCGGAGGATCTCAGCGAAGATGAGTTTTGGAAGAACCCCGAGTCTTTAATTCGGTACCGGTGGCTCGTCGTCTACATGTCCATGACGAAAGTGCTCGATGACTTCGAAGCCAAGGAGTTGACTGCTTTGCATATCGCCGCTGCGGTCGGATTCAAGCAGCTTGTCTCCGCGCTCATCCAGAACGGCCATGAGCACGAGATCAACAAGAGGGACAATCTCGTCAATACTCCTGTGAGGCTGAATCCTGCCCTATTTTTGAACGAATGCCAGCTCGGAAAATTTGACTCGTTACTAACATTCGTCGCAGCTTCATCTCGCCGCATACATTGGCAGACCCAACATCGTGGACGAGCTTCTCAAAAGAGGCGCCAATATCGACGATGGTATCGATATCGGCGAGCAGACCCCGCTACACATGGCCGCATTTGCTGGCCACGTCAAAGTCATGGAAAAGCTCATCAAGAGGGGCGCGAATGCCAACGCTATCGCCAGTGATGTCGGCCCAGTCATGAATGCCGCCATTTCTTCCGGTAGTCCAGATGCCGTCAAGCTACTCGTCGAGAAGCAGGTTTCGCTATCCGTCGAGGACGAGAACATCGACTCACCTCTGGCGTTGGCTGGTCTCCACGCAGACCTGTCCATGTTTGAATACCTCACGCAAACCTATGCTGAAAAGCTCCCGGCCAAAGAGTTTGACAAGGCCTTCATCAAAGCTGCCGTTTCTGGCAGAGTGGACGTGTTCAATAAGTTACTGACTTACTCTCACCCCCAAGAGTGCTTCCAGACTGCGCTGAAGGTGGCGGCAGAGGAGGAGAACTGGGGCATTGTCATGATCCTTCTGGAGCAGCGCAGAGGCCTCGACTGCAATGATCTCTTCCTTAGTGCGGCAACTACGGCGGAGCATCAAGACAAAGTCTTGGAGGCCGTCTGGAAATACACCAACGGAAACATCAGACCGGAGATTCTCAACGAGAGTCTGTATGAGGCTACTGATCTCGAGAAGGAGTCCACAGTCAGGTTGCTGATTGATGACTTCAAAGTCAACCCTAACGCGACTGGAGAATAGTAAGCAACCTAACCTACTACATCGTTGTGGAGGACCAGACTAACGACGTTCAGTTACGGGACTGCCTTGACTGCCGCAGCATATGATGGCACCCTAAAAATCGTCGAATTGCTGCTGGACAGAGGTGCCGATGTCGACGCACCCAACGGATGGGCTCTTCAGGCCGCCGCTGCGGAGGGCCACTACGACGTGGTCGAGGAGCTTCTCAACCGAGGTGCCGATGTCAACGATCTTACCACAAACGAGAACTTCCCACAAGGAACGGCTCTACAGGTCGCTTGCGAATCGGGTAAGGTGGAAATTGTCACACTCTTGCTTGAGCGTGGCGCCAACCCCGACCTTGGCACTGGAGAAGATACCTGCCCGATCATCGCCGCTGCCATGAAAGGAGAACAGGCGATTCTCGAGCTCCTTGTCAAAGCCAAGGCCGAAGTCAACGTCTTTGGAGGCTGGGACAACTCGACAGTCTTGATCAACGCCGTCATCAACCTTCCCGTCGAGTCACTGCCCGTTCTTGTGGATGCGGGTGCCGACGTCAACCTGGCTGACCAGGAGGCTGACACGCCCTTGATTGTTGCTGCGCGTGAGGGAGATGCGGATAGCGTAAGGTTCCTCTTGGATAATGGCGCCGACATATTCCACGTCAACAACGACAACGAAAACGCCCTCCAAT